AAAAAAAAAAAAAAAAAAAAAAAAAAAAACGATACGAATGACTGATTGTACCCACTACCGAAAACTCTTAAAAACACCTGAAATGACCACAACTTATTTATACTTGTTTAGCATCAAAGCCATTATTTGCTGAGCTCAATGCCATGCTGTAAACACCTAAGAAAAATTTATTGCCCGAATAATAAATACAAAAAATTTCACAGGAAAAAGTAGACGGAAAAATTTGAAACTGAAAACTCAAACTTGCCCAAAAACTATGTTTAACATGATCAAAAATCGCATAAATAAGAAATAAGAAGTAAAAATCAGATCGGATACATTTTTTTCACAGGAAAAAAAATACCTGTTCCACATCAATCAAATATTACTGTCGGACAAACCAATCTTTTATTCTCTCCACAAAACTTCGTAGAACAACAAAAAAGTGGAAATATAAACGAAGAAAAAAACGGCATCAAATACTGGAATATTCCAATAAAAGCATATTTAAAAACTAGATGTTATTTGCTGCAATTGGAAAACTGAAATATTTTCAACACATTCAGCAATATGCTACAAAATTAGAGGAATAAAAAAAGAATACACAGCAATATCTGTAATAATCAACTAAAAAATTGAAAAACAACAATCTTAAAATGTTCTTTATCACTCCACGAAATTTTTTAGGACTCTTTTCAAAGAACTCAGAAATTAAACAAAAGTTTTTGATTAAATATGAAATGAGAACCTAAATAGACAACAACTAGTACTAGAATCCTTTTCAAAAAAACCGACATTTGTATCTTCGTGAAAACAGTATTAGTCCAACTCCATATTATCTGCAACATCCTCAGTTGTTGTTTCCATTGAACATAAACTGTTTGCTTCCACCTCTTTCGATATTCTTGCCAGAAAATGAGGCTCACTACACAGTGGTATATTTAGCTTTTCTTCTGGATCAAGTTCAAACCCATCAGATGTTCCGGACTCATCGGATGATTTTAACAGCCCTATGACAAAACATTAAGAAGAAAAAAATGAGAAATTACTAAATATGTTTGATATACAGCCATTTTATACCAATGACAATTTCTCATTGTTCTTTAATATGCTACATTAATAAAGATGATATGCCAACAAAGTTGATAAATCAGTCGATGGACAAAAAAATTACTTTTAACACACGAATACATTTTGTTCAACAGTATCAAAGATTTCATTCAAAGCTGCTTCAAAGTAATAATTTTATTCCGAGAAACGAATTTTCTTCAATGATTTTATACTATTTTCGAAAAGTAGTATTCACCTTTTATCATGCTTCCTAACAGGCCACCTTTATTTGTCTGGGGCTGTTGCAAACCTAGATAGATCTCTCCTATCCTGTTAATATATGACTTATATTCCGGATCACGACCGATTTCACTTTCATATTGTTCTATGAGTGCTTTATAGCAAGTGGGCTAAAAACCAATACTGAATGATGTATTTAGTTTGTAGAACTAGTATAATAGAAACGGAGTTCTTAAAAAATTACATTCGCAAAAAATTTAAAAAAATGACAGAACGATATGGAATATATGATAAATTTTACCATTCTTCTATAGATTAATGTATCGTGCAAATAAAAGATTAAATCTGTAAATTAAATAAAATCAAATGAAGTTCATTACTTGTTGAACTTAATTTTTACTATTCATTGGAGCATGTATGTACATATGAAGCGTGAACTCCAAAGCGTGGCAAATATATATATTTACTCATTCGAAAAATAAGAAGTCAAACCTGTGTATTAGCAAGACATAACATTGTGAAATGTAGAAAATTGAGCAGTGGAAATGGATAAGGAAATTTGCTTCTAATGTCAGGATGTATATCACAATACGTTGTTAGCAATATCCAAGAACTTTTTAGTTTATAAATGCACAGCATCTGTAATAACGATCATAAAAATAAATATAAATTCAATGTGATCATAAAAATAAATATAGATTCAATGTTATATAAATTTAGCAGTAAGTACTTTATACTGATCAAACTATTAATTGCAAAGATATATTCAAACAAATATATAGTTCAATAACCATAAAAAACCTGTAAAACAGCTTGTGCGATGAATAGATCTTTTTCTTCAGCATATCCACACTTTGTATGATATTCAGTGAGGAAACGTGCAAAGACCTAAAGAAAGACTAGGTATAGTAAACAATGTTTGAGAAAATATTTCAAGAAATTCATAAATGAAACAATTACCAATACATATAATATTGAAATAAAGCTCGAACATGAAAACTAATGAAAAAATACTTTCAAAATGATGAGAGCTTGTGAATTAAAAGAGATAATTTATTTTGTTGAATTATCAATATGACAAAAAGAATGAATTGCATCATTTACTTCGGGTTTATCCGAATGCAAAAAATGATTCCTTGCGTTAGAATAATCTCCTTCATTCCAGAAAGATTTTGCAATGCGACTGAAAAATTCTTTTATCAAACACAAGAAACAAATCAAAAGCTAAAAACTTTTCGCTTTTTCAAAAGATATCTAAACTGATTTTCAATTATTGTTATTTCTTCCCTTAAAATTTTTCAAAGATAACTCACAAATGCAGTTCAGAATGTCCTTTCTGTCGATCACATTTTCTAACGCTAACGGTTCTTGTCCAATTAATACCTAATAAAATGTATTTCATTCTCCGATCTTCGTGCTCCGAGTTAGATTCCAAATCATTTCCTAAGTAAGCTGGCAAGCAAATGAATAGCTGAAAAAGCATTTGTAATCACGCTGTTAAAACCTTTTCAGTAATCAATAATTGACTGATTCATGTACAAAATTATCACGGCAAACATTTCGTCTTTATAACAGCACCAAATGAGCTTAATTTACATATTCCTAGCTCTTAAAATAATGGTCCACATCATTCCTACACCATTATATGAAGAGAAATAAATAAACCAACTTTACTTCTTCATAACGATCCAAGATATCTGAGGTAACAGGTGTTTTTGATTTTTCTAAAGTTTCTGCAAACAGTTCCGCAAGATCGATTGCACTTGATGATTCTTTACCTTCAACATCCTTCCAAAATTTCCCAGTAAACATTTAATCCCGTTAAAATCAGAAATACAGATGTGAATAGATATAACTTACCATCAACTTTTAATCTGTATTTTAAACAATGCTATTAGAAGTAAACTATTGTTTTCGAATGATTTTTTACTTCCGCAGTTACATAAGTAAAAATTAGACAAGGAAAAAAAGACATAACTAACCTTCCAAAAATTGTAATACACCACTGTATAACATATCTAATAACTCCCTCCATTCGCCTTTACTGGACATTCTATTGTACAAAGTACGATAAATTTGATGCGCTTCGTAGTAGTCCTTATTTTGGAGGCATAAATTCAGTTTCTTTTCAATGCGATACATCTGACACATCATAAACATTACACCAAAATCTTCAGTTAAAATTCAAGAAATTAAACGCAGAAAACAAGAGTAGCTACAGAGACAACAATCTCTTAAACTGAAGATATAATGAACATTTAGCTATCGTATCCAGTACACAAACAACAGAAGGGAACACAATCCCAAGCACACTCTTATCAATCAGCCTTCAGTACCAAAACCATTCAGGTCCAAAAACTATTCATGAGTATTGGACTCCATCGATCTGGATTATAGCTCAACATTTCCTATTTATTCATTGTATATATTGTAACAATATGGGAAGAAAATTCCAAATAGAATGACCGACAAGAAAATATTCCTCAAGATCGTCTTTTATTCATAAATTATGTTCACAACAAATACCCATGCTTCCAAAATTATCTTAATAACAGAAAATGCACCAATAATGTACATTTTTGGCTAGAAATCACAGCAATAATATTAATAAAATCATAATAAATATGGGACTTACCAAGACTTATTATAATGAGCTATATGCTAGCAATCATCATTTTTTAACATTTTCCAGGCAACACATGACAGATATTCAAAAGAACACAAAAAAGTTAAGAGCCAATGGACACAAATTGGAAGAAATCAAATACTCTCAACGATAAATGGTACAATAGTGAGTATAGTTAGCTGTGAATAAAAGTACCACTGCACTTAACAACAAAACAAAATATGTATCGGCTGAGATATAAAATTAGTATGATCGACCACCCCAACTACCATGACCAGAATTTCCAGCAGATCCACCCCAGGGTTGCCCATTACCACCTCCTTGCCAACCACCTTGTCCACCACTAGTGTTACCATTCCAGCCTACAAAAAGTCTAACAAGTACGCTAGGCTAATTTTACAACAAAACTTTTTTTCGCATTTCAGCGTGAATTTTATGGAGCTATTCCATGGTCAAGGCTGCAACAGGTCTCATGCTATGGAACACAGATTGTCCCTAGATCCCCAACAACTCACCTGGTAATGAACTGTTCCAAGCACCTTGAGCAGCTGCACCCCAGGTACCACTGGCACCCCATCCTAAAACTCAGCGTGAAAAATATTCTAATTTCAAAACCAAGGCACTCTTGGTTTAAACGCACCGAGTAATTTTAATTTTCAAAAACGAACCTCCACTTGGTGGACCATATCCTCCATAGCCACCACCATATCCACCACCTAAATTGTAATATAGTTAAGCAAAATAGGTAGATATCGAATATTTTTATACTAATTTGATTTTATGGCATAAAAAATAATAGGCTCGTCTAAATACAATTATTACAAATGTTACCACCTGAAGGTGGTCCCCACTGACCACCAGGTGGACCACCCCATCCTCCACCATAACCACCAGGTCCAGCAGCATAACGATCAAATCTGCCTGTACCTCGCGAACGTCCCATTCTTTCTGTACGTTCTCGATCTAACTGCTGAGCCTGAGAAAAACTTAATGATACATATTAAAAAACTTCGGCAAATAATTATAATATAAAAGATATAAAATATGCTTACCTTCGTCATTTCCTCCTTACTCAAAGCTTTTTTTACATCACAACGATAATTATGAATATGATGACTTTTCTGTAATACGCATTTATCTACTGGATCATAGTCATCGAAAGAAATAAAGGCAAATCCTCGCGGTTTTCCGGTATTTTTATCGCCTATAATTTCGACCTGAAAATACATGTTCACTTGATATAAATGAAAATTGACAAATGAAAATTTAATTGTAGGTTCATAATAAAATGTTGTTGCTATCTTAAATTCCTTTTTACTGTTTTATTGTACTCATACATATTGTTTTTAAATAATCACACAAATTCAAATATAAATAATGAATGATAACTAACCTTCAGTACTTTACCAAACTGATTAAAATAATCTTCGAACATTTGCTCAGTGTGTTCTTCACGAACACCCGAAACATACAAACGTTTGGACGAAACGTTTGCTTCACTACGTGAAGACTGATCACGTGGTACAGCCCTCTTTGGATCCACCGTTTTCCCATCAATCACATGAGGCCGAGCAGCCATTGCATCATCCACCTTAATTGTTACTATTTATAATTATTTTCATAAGCTCTTTTCTGCTTACCATTAAGGATAAAAACATATAAAAACTAGCCTCAGACTGCTTAGAGAAACTAACGAATCCAAATCCTCGTGAACGTTTTGTTGCTGGATCTCTCATCACTATACAATCCACTAACTCACCCCACTGAGAATAAAATTCTTTCAAAGCTTCATCAGTTGTAGTTGATGACAAACCACCAATAAACATTTTTCGGAACTGTTCTGGTTCAAGCCCATCGCTCTGTACAATAAAAATAATGAATCGCACACAATTGTGAACTAAATCTATATTCTTCAACAGAAGTAATACATAAGCAGTAGTATAGTAGAGGTTGAGAGCTTCCATTTTGATTTTGATTTGCACTGATTTAAATTTGAAAGTTCCGAAAAATGCAATTCCATCTTTACCACCTCTTTGCTAGCTTGCCTCATAAGGCTCGATTTTTTTCGAGCACAAAAACAAAAAACAAAAAAAAACAAAAAACAAAAAAAAGTTTCATTATAATCATTATAATGAATGACCTTAGAACAATAATTAGAACATATCAACAAATTCAGAGTAACGGCCATGTTTTCAAGTCCAAAAGGGGTAGTGTACCTTATCTCAGTAGGCGTGCCTCACCTGCCCTTTATACCTGTGACTCTCCTCCCCATAATAAAACTAAAGTAAAGCCTTACACTATCTTCAGTCTTCACCATCGTTCTCTTTGTTTCTAAATCTCGACAACAATGATAGTAGAGGTAATAGAAGTAACAGTAGTAGTAGTAGTAGTAGTAGTACGGTCACTCCCTCTTTGATCCCGTAAAGTACAAAGACTGATTGTAGTACCAAATGCCGTATGTATAGACTGATCTCACAAAGTACTGTATGTCACTGATAACTGATCTCACAGCAATATCTAAAGGTACATAATAGCAATGAATGCATGAGACCGAATAAATGCTTCGTTATGTATCTACCAATACCTCAACTTACCTTAAAGAGCACGCAAACCTGAGATTACTCACACATGGGAAGAAACAGCCTATGCTCATCAAACTTCTGCAAAACCTGAGTCCCCAGACAGTCTATACATACGAAGAGGAGTCTCGTCCTTACAGGAAACGACCCTACTTTATGCAGCAGAAATCACAAAGAAAAAACACGACAAACCTTGCTATTTCAGATGCCAATTGCGACTGTAAAACAACTCCGCAATCCAAGTCCCTAAAAGTAATTTGTCAACGCAAAGCCACATCGACCACGATATACGTTTGTCATTGAAATATCAATATTCCTGAACCCATGCCCTTAACTTGGAGAGAAGAGACGAAGTCAACCTATTGCTCCACCAATTTCTAATTACTTATCTTAGACATCCTACTTGTACAGCATACCGTCTGAACAATAAATATCCCGTCGGTTAAAAACCACTTACTACTAAAATTCTGAATTAAAATTAAATACTATGATATCTACTGGCACCTCTGAACCTGTTTAGTAATAAGTAGCGACATGACTAACGGCGATGATCTCGTCGAAGTATTTATGCTGCACAAAATTCCACATACCAATGAAAAAACATCTAATAACAAGTGCACAAAGAAACTTAAGTACTGAAACTACAAAATACTGAAAATTTTCAAGAAACAATGAGTTCTACTACAATACAGGTGTAACTGTTAGAAATATTTAGAAATCATCTATATGTCACATGTGAAAACATTAAAATGTATTATTGTCAGCGGACAGGGGAGAACCAACATAGATTTCACCCTCAATAGCTTTGAGACCTCAAAAATGCAAACTAAACGGAAGTCATGTTTTAAAGAAGTTGAAAGGAATATGGAGCGTCAAGAAATTTAAAATTATTTTTGAAATCCACTGAGATCGTCAAAATCACGAAATATTCACAATGAAAAAATTCATGGTTATTGGTTCATTTCTGCTTTTCAATAACCTCGACCTCCCCAACCACTACCGCCACTTTGACCACCTGAGCCACCCCATGACTGTGCAGCTCCTTGACCACCAGCACCCCAACCTCCTTGACCACCACCTTGACCCCAACCTGCACCTGGAACAAGCCTCATTAATAAGCTTTATACAAATACAGCCAGCTCAGACAAATTTTTAACTACCAACAACAAAATACTTATAGACATCGACTTAAGATGATTATTGAAATTTAGAACTGGTGACCCGCTTACCTGCTCCACCAGATGGTGCACCCCACCCACCTTGTGATGGAGGACCACCCCAACCACCGCTGCCTTCACCACCCCATCCTCCTGAAAGCGGTAATTCAATTTTGTGACAATCATTAAATTAACTAGTTTTCAAGCAATTCCCAGAATTCAGAGAAGAGCATAGAATAAACAAAAGTTACGTTACTAAATAATTTCATAATTCTTAAAAGTAACCTTGACTGCAAATACGATTTTAATAGAGATTTTATCAAAAATTTAATGGTAAAAACACTGAGAAAAAACTACACATATTTACAGAAAAAACCAAAAACATACTCCCTCCGCCAGGTGCACCACCATAACCACCACCGTATCCACCCCCGTAACCACCTCCTGGAAATTGTGATCTCATAATTATAGAACGTTGAAATGCAAGAATCATAGACAACGAACATCAACTAAAGAAAAAATCCTCTTACCTGATGGTCCCCACTGACCGCCGCCACCAGATCCATAACCACCAGGTCCACCAGGACCAGCACCCCATGGTTGTCCACCATAGCCTCCCCTATCCCCACCAGGTCCCCAACCACCTCCTCCACGTCCAATTGGTGGCCCGCGAGAACGAGCTCCTCGATCCATTCTTTCCCGTTCCTTTAGTGAAGTTTCACATAAAGAGATGCTTTTGACTTTGCAAAAAATACTAAATGGTTGCCATAGATATCAATACAACAATTCCTGCTTCTGCTACCACATGATTCCATGTAATTAAAAGAATCTCATAAGAGTAAAAATAGAATTTGATTAACGGAACAGCATAAAAATAAAAATAGAAAAATGATATTATGAAATTCATAAATTATGTACTACAGGATTTCGGTCCCATAGACAAAAATGTAGATTAGGAAAAAAATTATTTCTAAAGTAAATGGAGAAATTCAAAAATAATTCAATTCAGTTGTAATAATTGGAAATAAAGTGCCAACCTTTGCCATTTCTTCCTTACTAAGTGCCTTCTTTACATCACAGCGATAATTGTTAATCATATGGCTTTTGATTAAAACACATTTATCAACGGCATCGTAATCATCAAATGTTATGAAAGCAAAGCCTCGAGGTTTTCCAGTATTTTTGTCCGCAATTATTTCACACTGCAATAGAATACAAAGTTCTATGTGTTGACAGATACTTTTAAACACGAAAAATCTGCCCTTGTTTCATTTTGAACAGTTTTTAATTCATTTATCAGTTCTAAAAAATCAAAACCTTTAAAATGTTGCCATATTTCCCAAAATGTTCTTTGAACATATCTTCTGTGTGCTCTTCTCTCACTCCAGATACATAAAGTCTCTTAGATGAGATATTAGCCTCACTTCGTTGAGACTGCTCACGTGGAACTGCTCGTTTAGGATCGACAGTTTTACCATCAATGATGTGTGGTCGATTTGCCATAGCAGCATCAACCTATCAAACCATGATTTACTATACATCAATGAAAAACTGAGAAAGACATCTAGTGACCATACAGATATGATTTCAAAGTGAATATTTTCGAGCGAAATATCGATGAAACTAATTAAAATGGGGATAACTTTCTTTAATCACTTCCTACAACGATGACATGTTTGAAATCTGTTGAAATTAAAATTATAAATGAGGATTTGACAAATACTACAGAGAGCATAAAAAAATTATAACTGCTGAATTCCACATTTACAAGTACTTACTTCTGACTGCTTTGAAAAACTGACAAATCCGAATCCACGTGATCGTTTTGTTGCTGGATCACGCATGACAACACAGTCTACAAGAGTACCCCATTTGGAGTAAAATTCCTTGAGGGTCTCATCTGTAGTTGAGCTTGTAAGCCCACCAATGAACATTTTCCGATACTGTTCTGGCTCAAGGTTCCCACCAGAAGCATCCTGAACAAAAATAACTAAGTTTACTGATGTTTTTAATACTTTAACAAACAATCGGCAAGAGAACCTCGTGTTGTCTTTGCAATCATGTCGAAACTGGCGAAACATAAGCACGTTCTTCACAAGAAAAAAAAAACAATATATTAATCGGAAAGAGTGAAACTTCCAAAAATAAGTATTATCGTCAATACCAGCATGGCACAAATTTATAGTTGGGTAAGTGAAAAGTTTTGGGTGCTCAATACTCTACCTCATCTCGTACTTCAATACTTGCTGCTTGTTTCTGCCAAGAACTTACATTTATCCTGAATCTGAAGCTCATAGTAACTATTGGAAAGATGGACAAACTACCTGATAGAATCCTACCTGCTGCTTTATAGCTGTCTTTACAGCTTTTCATATTAATCTCCTTGATAGCTTTTAATATAGCCTGATCAAGGCTAACATCAGTTAATAAACGTGTAAGCAGTCAACGAACGTAACAACTTATTACGATACGAATGTACGAAGGGTATATCACTAGAATGTAAATGCTAAAAATTATTAACAAAAGCCTTACTCCATTTTCTTCAGTCTTCACCATCGTGCCTGTTTTGTGTCACTCTCTTAATACTGAATATCTTTTTGATAGTAATAATGATAGTGATTAGGTGAAGTTATCGATATCCCCTCACAACAAGTCAGTAGTAGAAGTACAACAATGTCTCTCTCACTGATTCCTGATTCTTGCCTGCCTGATATTGATTCTGATTCTTATACCAACAGATAGTGGAGAGATTTCTGTTTCTCAACTTAGCTGGATGGCACACCCACTGCCTTAACACAATCTACAATGTGAATACAGTCTTCATCTTTGTATTAATTCATGTAGACAAATTAAGTTATCAAAAGGAGTGGAAAGTCAAGCTTACTTGCTAATGCTTTTCATCTCATCTTTACCTTACCTACTTAATTAGCCTCAATACTTACAACTACCGTAACTTATAATTAACTTAAAACTATTCTATTCTTTTTCAATCTCATCTATACTACTACTTTATTACTCAAATACTTTCCTCTTACACATTTCAGCAAAAAAAACCGTCAATAAATGAGAGTAACGACACAAGCAAAAAAAGACAACAAAACATACACAGCAATTATAACACAACACATACAAAACACAATTTAAATTAACAAAAAAAAAAACAATTCAACAAATACAACGGCAACCGCTGGCCCAACACGCACGCAACACTACCCGTTGCTTATCAGACAATGCTCCTAATCGATTGAGAAATAGTCCTCTTTATAGCAAATATATCCTGTATAAAAGCGCCAATTCAAAATGCAAGTAAAGAATGCAGTTTTATTTGTTGAAATTACTATGATAATGATAATTACTATTATTATTTTCACTATTATTATCATTATTACTATTATAAATATTCTTTATGTTATTCTATTGTCAATCTACTACTCACTATCAATCTTATTTTTTTAATTTATAAATAAATAAGTTTAAAAAATTTATCTATCAATAAAATTATTATGATCATACTGCTAGTATCGTACGTATCCAATAAGTAACATCAGTAGTCAATAAATGTGTAATATAATCAGTTATTATTAGTATTGTTGTTATATTACTTAACCTACAGTATCCTTTTTTATAGGTTGTTATTTTTGATGCTTTTCATTATCTTAAATTTTAAGCATTAATGCTTTTTAGTAATAAAAAAGTAATTAATTGCTACTGCAAATAATAGTAGACTGAAATTGAAATTAATCTAGCGACTGGATAAATGATTGACTGATTAATTAACTAATTAAATGACTGTATTATTACTGATAACCACTTTTTATTCTTTGAGGTACAATAATAATAACTAAGAAAAGAAGAAACAAAGCTGACTTGTTGATTGGAAAACGGATGGACTGAATGACCGATGGACTTATCAAATGACATAAATGGTGGACTGACTGACTGACTGACTGACTGACTGATGATGATTATATATACCAATTATATTAAACTTCATCTTCAGCTAATTTTTATATCATATTATTTCTATCAACAGAATGATTAACTAGACAACTAATTGCTGAATCAACGAACTGAACAAATATTTACTGTATCGATTTAATTAATCCAAAAATATTTGGAGAATAGTGAATAAACTGGTAGACTGACTAACTGAAAGACTAATTCGATCAGAGTATACAAAAAGAACTGTAATACTATTTAGCAAGTTACTGCTTGGATTAAATAAAGCAGTGAAGACAGATTGTTGCAGCAAACTTTTACTTTCTTCTACGTGAAATGACGTATGGACTGCAATATTTTAAACTCAAATAATTATTTCCATTTAAATTGGTATTATTTCGCATAAGTTACGCGAGAAGGACGAATGCTTCGACTACAATAACATAAGTTTATTTATAAGATGTAAATCAGTTTGTTCACTACTCTAATATTGTGATTATACAGTAAGAAACATTTCTATTTAAAAATTTTTTATTTATAAAAATTTATGCCAGAAAAATAAAATATTACTTGGAAGTAATGCATAAGACGTAAAAACCCACGCACCCTTTTTGATTCAAAAAAGTTGAACATTTTCTCAGAATGTTTCATAAGTAAAAATTCACGTTAGAAAAAGGGACGTACGCAATGAATAGTCTCAGACAATCACTGTATACTCAAAAATTGCGAGGCACATTTGCTACACGTAGCATATTAGTTATGCGTAGCATATTGACGAGAATCAGTAGATGCGTGTGCTTGTATTCAAAATTTATTCATGCACTGATTTACCAATTACTTAATACACACTTGCAATGCATTATATTAATATTACATTGGTTAATTTTTGCTACTAACTTTTAACTGACTGAGAAACTCGATGACAAATTGATCACAGACTTACAGTAACAAAAAATGATAGTAAAGTAAATATAGTAACAACAAAACAACAGCTGAAAAGGTAGTAACGTACATTCTCTTGATCATCAATATTGATTGATCGGTTGATTGATTATCCCTTAATTCTGTAACGAAGTCGCCCTCATATAATGCATTCTTACCAGTGACATCAGAGAAAAACGAAAATACTTATATGAGCTCTAAATTATTGCTTATAAACGCAACTTCATTGCTAAATTTGCATAAATTATGCAAGAATTATTCAAATAACTCTGAGGGTAGTAGCAGTATGCTTCTTTAATGCATAAATCAGAGAATTAAATTTTTGTATTTTGATGAAAACTTTTTATTTTTGTAAGCAATTATTGCAAGATATTTTTTCCCACTTACATTATTAACACGACTTGAGATGAATTAATATTTGAGAAGTTGACCTTTACTCCCAAATTATCCTTTTAAATTTTTGTACACAAATGTAATAATTAAAACTACCAGAATACCATACTTTTGCCTTATTTTATTTGGTGACAATTACATACGTTTGCAAAAATTGAATTGCGTGAATGAACGCTTATCATATCCGTTTCCTTGTAAAGTACTACTATTCACTTGTTGTTCTCATTAATATTTGATAATCTGATTTACTTTTTATTTGTAGTATTTATTTACGTTCAAATCAAACAATCATTTATGTCATTTATGCAAAATTAAAATTTATTAACAAAATATGCATCATTTGGCTTATCATATGAAGAGGACGACAAACTTTGTGTTCTTCTTCGAGGATTAAAGTGTTTATTATCTGTTTGAGTACGAATTATCACATCAAAACCTTAAAAGTCAATAAATAAAAAGACGTAAATATGGATGAAATCAATAGATAGTAAAGTATTTACAAAGTTAATCGATAGGGATTAACTGTTATGGATATTTTTGATAAGTTTATAAATTTTTTCTAAAAAACAAGAATAGATAAAATTTAATACCTCCACTTTTCATTCGTTTAACTCTTGAACTTGTTTGTCTTGGAAAAGTGTTACGAACGATTTCAGATTCCCGACCTGAATCGATAGCTGTCACAATTGACGTTGTAAGAGAAGAATTATCAGTAAATAAGTGTTGATCACGTAATGTATTTATTATTTTATGCCTGCTTCTGAAAAGTAATAATGTCTAAACAAGCATAAGTCAATGATAGCTAATTAAACTTGTTATCTGCTAACAATCAAATATTTTTTATTGCTTTATTTTCTTAGTAAGCATTTTGTGAACTGGAATAAAAAAACCTGCTCAATAAAATTAACAAATTTAGAAACTTTCAAAGATAACTTAACAGACTCTGTGTAATCAGCAGCAGATGATGGTAATGAAGCTTCATCATCTGAGTCCGTATATGTACATGAAGGATGTTGAATATCACCTGATCTTCGATGTCGAGAATCCTGTTTTGAATGACATCTTCGTTGATCCCCCCCATTACTTTCTGAATATTTCATTAAAGTATTGAATATTATCACTAATTCAAAAGAATAAATCTTTTCGTGCATGAAAAAATTACCTTTACTTTTAAGCTAATTCTACTTACTAAGTAACTCAACTTCAGAGCTATTTATTATTTACTTACTTTAATTTTACTTTTTCATTTATACTTCAATGCAAGACACTAATTGCTATTCAGAGTTGTTCAATTTATTCAGAAGAAATAAAAGGTTAGCTTCTAAAAATACTGTAAAAATTACTTCGACGACCGTAATTTCGCGATGTCATCAGGCGTACATTAGGTTGATGAAAAATGTTATGATCGTAACATTTACAGAGATTTTTAACAACAAATAATTCTTCTTGATCGTTTCTTTGATTAAAATTATTTGTAGCGGAATGAATCAATTGCATTGGTGAACCTGAAATTAATTCATATTAAATTCTACTATTGATTATCTGAAATTAATTCATACTAATTTCCAGTATTAATTCAGGCAAAAACATCGAATTAACTTTATTAAAGTATAATATGTGATAATTTGATTAAATGCTATGATTTCATTGACAAAATGCGCTTTATTTAACTGTGAAATAATTAAAGCTAAATCCTTATAAATCTTAAGTTAATAGACTAGACAAAAAGATGTAAGTAACTCAGTTAAAATTGTTATGAGGCGATTATAGTAGTTAAATTTTGCTAGCACTTTATGCTAAGTTTACTTTAGCAGATAACCAAGTTGAGATGAAACTAGCTTGGTCTTATCTTAGCCATAAGACCAAGCTAGTTTCACAGTGAAAGATTAAGCTAGCTTTATGAAAAAACATAAAGCTAGCAACTAAGTAAAAACTTATTTACAATCATGAAGACTATTACAAATCTTGTCTAAATTCAGTATTTACCTGAATATCCTAAAAATGCATATTTTATGCTTTGAAATCTAATTGCTATTATTAACAGTCATTATTTGCATATTTTGCATGAATAATTATAAAATTTGCATGAAATCTCTTTTTTTGTAGTTATAAAAATCATTACAAATTAAACGAAATTATTTTATTGATTAAAATGATAAAATCAAGCACATAATTATATGTAAAATATGTATTTTTTTCACAGCGAATCAATAAATACAAAATGATTTAATTGATTGAAAGTTATTTTATAGATAAAAAAATATCTGAGGTATTTTCATCGTCGGAAAATTCGTGAGATCCGTTATGCATGCAGTCACTAGCAGTGTTGCTCAGTAAATACTGTCTTTGAGTTTGATCATTCCATTCATTAATATTTTTATTAAAAAATTTCTGCTGTTGATATTGTTGATTATAGTTTGCAGCACGATGTAATTTCGTACCATTTATTCCATCATTATACCTAAAATATGCTAATTAATTATGATTTGAAATGGTATTAATTATTTGTAAATATATATACACTGTGTGATGAATAAACATGATTTTAAATCACTGGCTTTAATAATTAGTCATAAAGTAAATTAAATTAGTATTAAACTTTTATATCATTAACTTTAGTAATTAAGTAAATCTGTAATTTATTTTTGAAGTATCAATTTTGATGGTTGACTATAAAGTATTCAACATCGATAAATGTTTAAAATTATAATTTTTTATTTTGATTAAATAATAATAATAATAAGCTAAAAAAATAAATTAAAAAATAATGAAGTAAAAAGAATTTTTTAGTGACAAGTCAAATAATTTGAGAAACTCAAAAAAATTACCTGAGAAAATGTACTGGCTCTTGTGTTTGACCACTTACAACTGTAGTTAAAAACTGACCACTGAAATGGTCTTTACTTTTCTTGAGATTATGCTTTTCAGCTTCTTCAAAAGCAATTAATGGAATAGGTGTTACTTTTCGTTTCGAGCTGAATATGAATATGAGTTAATAAATTATTGCATAAATATGCAAAATATTTTACTACAAAAGTGATCAGTGATAGACAGTTAAGAGTAACACTTATTACTGATAAAATATAAATGCTTTATTTTCAAATTTTGATTAATGCAATTAGTTACAATTTATGTTTGTTAATGTCATACATATTTTTTTTGATCGAATTTTGTGATAATTTTTGATTGAACAAATGATGAAAGTTTGCGACATTATTACTCGTTGAAGATATATTTTGATGACCTTTCATTGAACTTATCGTAAGTTTGACTTTCGAATTATTTTTGCTGTGAGTAATATTCTTTTGATAATTATCTTTATTAATTTCATTATCTGAATTTTGATCTGTTCCTTTTCGAATATAATCAACAATATGTTGATCTATTATAGATTTTTGATCATTATCTGATATCTGAAAATTTGCATCTTCAAACACATTTTAGTAGCGATGAATATGCAAAAATAAAGTACAATTTAAAAAATCTTTTTTTTTAGATTGGAAATTTCTTTCAAAACTGTTCAAAAATTATTAATAAAAATGATAGCAAAAAAATATTTAATCAAAAAATTCATTAATTACATTTTTAGTATTTTTTCAAAGTCAAATATAAAGTAATTGTTATATTTTTTCTGCTATCTGACATTATAAACTGGCTAGAAAAATATAATTCTACTTGATTTTATCCTTAAAAAATATTAAATAACAAATTTTTGAATTTATAATTAATATTTAGCCACATAAAATTTCCAAAATTCAAGATATTTTTTCGTGACTAATAAAATGCATTGGTGCAGAATATTTTGTTTGACAACTGTTTTCAAATCCGGTTACAATTTTCAATAGAAACGTACGTGTCATTCTATGGTGACATTATGTCTTAGTGATTATTTTTTTTTGAAAATAATGGGTGAAATGGATAGATAATAAACTAAATTTGTTTGAAAAAAAAAATTTTCGAAACGAGAAAAAATATTCGAAAATAAGTAAAATAATAATTATTACGACATGATTTACTTGCATTTTGTTCTTTAAACAAATTATATTATGCTAATTTGTGGGAACAAAAAAAATTATATTTGAATTGTAAAACTCGAATTTAATTAGTAATTTATTTGTTTAAGCTTATTTATAAAGAGGTTTAGTTTTAAAATATCGTAATTACTGCGATTAATTCGATTAATTTTGATTACAGCCGCTTGATAAATTACAATAAGTAAGAATGCACAACATGAATAATGAATTAATTTAAATTATTAATATAAGAGTAACTTAAATAAAACAATAACTTACATTTTGATCATTCGAAGACAAATTTTGATTGGTAATTAATTCTTGTTTTTGTAATTCTGCATATTCATGAATTGCATCATTTTTTGGCATAAAATCTCGTTGAATTTGCTCAATCTTTGCTTCAGATACTTTCTAGAAACAATACAAATAATTTTGTACAGAAAATCAGTTTAAAATGATAATTTATAATGATAAATTCAGTATTAATTGTTATTTGTCTGCTAATGTAAGAAAAGTGAATAAATAATTAAAGCAAGCAAAAATCTCTAAATTTTAGCTTTATGATTACAAGTTAATAAATTAAAAAGTACTCCAAAATATACGCTTATATTAAGTAATAAGTAAGAATAAAGTATAAAATTTTCAAATAATTTAAACTTTTCATTTATGTTTTTATTAAGTTGACGGGTTTCCCTTTATTTTATAAAAATTATTCAGGTAATTTTTGATTTGTTATTCAATTTAATTTACAAAATGATTTTACAAAATTAAATTTATTTAGTTATATTTGCTATTTTTTATTTTTTATAAATTACAGCAGTAAAAACTCCCAAATTTAAAAAGTTTATGATTAAAATAATATAAATTTTATATTTGAATATTTTCATTACAGTGATTTACAAAAATGACCAAACCCTGCAATCTGAAATTAGTGACTTGTACAAGTCCATTCAAAAAAATACTCTTAATGAGGACAAGAAGTGTCAATTTTGTTCTGTTAAGACTGATGAACTTTAACCCAGTAAATAAATGACTCTAACCTTTGCCTTTTCGTTCACTAATTTGTAATTTTTTCATCTAAAATCACAATCATTTCAAGTATAGAGCTATGAAAGTGTTAAAAATATCTACTTTTGCCTTGCATAACATGTATTATTGATATACTGTATTATTTATGTTAGCAAAACTTGTTGTACTTATAAGTTTTACTTTAAAATTATTACTTATCAATAAGATAACTTAAGAACAAACTTCTGGGCTTACGTTAAGCTCACTTTTGATAGTATTTTCAGGCCGTTTTGAACATTTCTCGTTTTCATCAATATTTGCAGTAATTTGTTGAATCAAATTTATATTTAGGAAACCATTAGTAGCATAAAGAAAAGCAATAAATAATGAACTCAAGCCAGCTAGTAGCAAATACCGATTGTTTAAACACTAAAAATTGTTTTAAATTACTAAATTTTGAAAAAATCATTTTAAAAAGTATAAGTTACTAAAAAACCAATTACAAATATAACTTACTAAAGAATTGGTATATCAGTATTAAATTAAATCACTAAATATAACTCTCCTAGGGTTATCTTTTGAAAAGATATAGATTGAATTCTGACTGCAGTTTGAGTTATTCAATTTTTAATTATGTAAGCAAAATCAAAAAATTAAAAAAAATTTTTTTTATTAATAAAATTTAATTTCAACTTTTTTTGTATGCTACACTTCGAGAAATAATCTGAGGAAGTAAAAAACGGAAAAAATTTAAAATTTATCATTTTTGTAGACTTTATGCTTATTAATAAAAATTAAATAAAATTTAGAACAAGAAGTAATCTTATATTTTAGTATTTTTTGGCTGTATACTAAGTTCAGAACTGTTAGAGAGTTATGCAAAAGATTAATAAAAATTGTTAGTAAATTACAATTTTAAGTATCAAATTGTTTTTATGTTTAAAAATTATGAAAAGAAATCCAAAAAATTAATTATGCCAAGTTTATTGATAACAATCATAAGTTAATATAATTTTGAGTTATTTGAATTCTTAAAAGTGAAACAATAACCGTTGGAAAATCGTAAATTAATAAAATTCCAAAGCCCGAAAAAATAATAGCCATAGTGAAACATGTAGTAGCCTCAACTTGAAACCACTGCTTTTGACTGACCAGTACATCATGTTCTTTGCTTTCAGTTTTGTCATTTATGAATCGAAAAATTATATAAATACCTTAATAATGACATTAACAATAGCAATAACAACTCAAAACAATTTATTTTCATCAAGTTTGTTGAATAAAAAAATTTTTGTACAACCCAAATTTTAGTACTTAAGTTATTGAACAGTTTTTATGCTCAGAAATTTGGCAAGAAACTCAATTATGGTCATCAAAAATAAAGTTTAGTATATTTACAATAAAAATATCAAATCTAAAATAACCTTAAATCTCTTATGAACGATAAAAAAATTTAAATCTTTATAGTTATGTGCTTTTGACCAATTTTTTGTTGATGATAAATTAAGTAAATTATGAATTCAATTTGAGATATCAAACTCAGTTTTTGATAATTTAAAATAAATGTATGCATAAATAATGATTTTTAAATAAAAAACAAAAGTTAAAAAAGATAAAGTCAAAAAAATAAAGTTTTCAATTTAAAGCTAAAAAACGAAAACAATTTGTGTGTATTCATAAAGGCGTTACAATTTTAAAAACAGAAATAAAAACTAAACATTTATTAATTTATAAAAACTTTTAAAATTTTAAATTAGTAAAAAAGTTAATTGTTTTAAAATCAGCCAGAAATTTGATTTTAAAACTTCAAAATAATTGTAAAATTGATAATTTGGTAATTGTTATAATTTTGAATTACTTTTTGAAAGGTACAAAAGTTATTCAAAAATTACATACCAGCAAGAGGAACAAGAAGAAAAATGAATGTGAATATCCAATATGGTCCAATATTGTACACACAGTAAATCATAAAAATTGAGCTAATAAATTGAAAAAGTTTTAAAAGAATACTTTGAATAATTTTCTTATTTGTTACCATCTGAAAATTTTAATTTAATTACATTTTTAGCGCATAAATTTAAGTAATTTTGAAGTGATATTTTTAATAAAAGTATGAGATGTAAAAAATGCTTGCAAAAAAAGAAAATTTAAAGTGACAAAATAACTGCTAAAATTTTTCTCCTATGAATATAGTATACTAAAGACTACATGTCCACGTCAAAAATTTATTACCGTAATCGGTTGTTTTTTTTTATTCAAAAAATATTTCTAAAAAAATTAGAAATAGCTAAAAAAAACCTGAAAATTTTCAGTAAAATAGTTGTTTGCTTCAAAAAATGTATTTGTACTAAAATTAAAAAGTATAAGATGAATAATAGAAATGAAAATTTTCATACACAATATGAAAGTTTTCCTCTCACATAAATATTTTAATTTTTTTAATGTTTAAAAAAAGTAAAACTTTCAGAATTTTTAAAGATAAAATTTTTGAAAAATTTTTGCACAAGAAATTTTGCAACTTTTTTTTAAATTTTAAATTTTTGAAACTTTTTCGTTTGAAATTCTCACTATAATTCGTTATGTATGCAAAGTATATTTAGTATTCCTTGATTAAAATATAATAACTGAATATACTTTACGTATGAATCAAAGTGCGCACCTCTTGCAAAGTCAAAATTTAAATATTTGAAACGATTTATTTTGAAGATGAATGCTAATTCATAAAGTTTTGACTCGAATTACAATTCCAATTGATATTATTGCTATGAAAATTAGATAAAAATAAGAAATATTAAAAAGTAAGCTCAAATATAAATAATAAACAAATATGCAAGCATGAATATAAAAATAATCCTAAAACATTAATGAGAATAAAGTTTGCTTTGGCAGAACAATCTAGTTTCGTCTTGATCATAAACTGATTCAGACCATCATATCAAAGTGATAAAAGCCAGTTATAAGGGTTATGTCACCCAAACAAAATTACTCTCATTATGAACAACTCTTTCTGTACTTTCATATTGTAAACTTTAAATAGTAGAACGAAATTTGCATTTTAAACTGCTTATTTTTTTGTTTCTGCTCCTTTAAAAAATCTTAAATTGTTTATTATTAAAATATGTTTTTCATTATTTCACAATAAAAAAATTGCCAAAGAATAAACAGATTTTTTAATATAATAATAATAATAATAATAATGATAAAATTAGTAAAGAATAATTTTGAAAATGCAAACTAAACAGCACTCAAAAAAAGGAAAATTATATAAATTTCAAATAATTTGATTACAAAAAGTAAATATAATGGAATTATTACATTTGCAAATATTTTTAATAGTATTATGAGTTAAAAATTATTGCAATGTAAATGATAATAATTACTAAAAGGAATAAATTAAAAAAACAGGCAAAGATAATGATGGAAGATGTTATTTGAGGAACAATAAGGGATAAAAAAATTTGTAATGCAAAAATATATTCTAAAAAAATGTATACGAAATTATAATTAAATTTAAAACTTATTAAATTCTTGCAAATGTTAGAAAACGATTATATATTTTTTAATAATTTCAAAGCAACAACAATAACACGAATTAAAGTGGTAATAATAGCAGTGAGAACAACAACAACGTTAATAACAACTATTTTAATTGCATGCATTACTTCCAATAGAAACGTAGTAATATTCTTGCCAGTATATTAATAATAATATTTGCTGCTGCCATTTCACTTCCTTTATTTCCAATTCTTTATTCAGTGAACTCTAAAGTTATATTTATCTAATGTTATAAAATAATAATAATAATAATATTAGGAGTACTAAATCTGAATAAAATGCATTGGTGATGGCATGATAGATAAGCAGCACAAGGCTTCGAGGTAATACTTAACTGTATTTGATCTAATAAATTTTTTGAGTGACTTAATAAAGCTTTTTAACTACAAATAAATAATCATAAAATCAGTCTGACGATCCTAATTTTGCATAGTTTTCCGGTTTTAGCAAGAAGATTAACAGTTTATAAGCGAAAAATATTTCGATGTAAACTAATAATTTACAAACATTTCAACTTAATATTAGTATATGCAACTTCCTTTACTAAAAAAATTTTATTTATCAAAAAATGGAAGAAATCATCATTTTTGATAGTTATATTAATTACTTGATATGTATATAGTACTAGTAAATAAGTAATGAATTTAATTAGCATTGTTTATGCATCAGTACTAAAAATTGCATTAGCTATTTCTAAAAATCTGTCTCATACTAAATATAAAATTTAATTTTCAGCATAAACTTAATTAGAGACATCCGCGTAAATAAATATTAAATTATAAGAATAAAATTTTTTGGCATATCAGCAGAAGAAGTATTTATATGAATCAAATAAAGCAAAAGATTTTGAAAATCAAAAAGTGGTAAAATAAATTGTAGCAACTTGCAAGAATGCATTCACAAATATATTTAAAACTTGTTTATAGCAAAAAAATAAAAATATGAAATTAATAAAAGTGTCAATAATAGTAGTGATAATTTAGCGTTGAGAATATTAAATTACTATTTAAAAATTAAAAATATTTAAAATAATAAATAAAAGCAAAACGAAAACTGTTTATACAAGTACAGTACAGTTCTTTAATTCCAATTTTTCGATATTGAAAATAAAAAATTTTATAGATAAAAAATTAAAAAAAAATTAAATAAAAAATTAGTGAAATGAATTGCAGTAATTTGAAGGAAAAATAAAACACATTTTTAAATTGTATTTCAACGAATAAAAAATTGACTCTAATGAAGACTGATGTTATCGATATTAAACATTTCCTTCTTTAAAAAATATATTTTTTGCTTTAGTAATGGTCCATTAAATTTGCTGCAAAATAAAAATACTCGCAGTTATTAAAAATCTTTCCTTTTTTTAATAATAAAAAAGTTATAATTTAATTTTATTTGCTAATAAAGAATACTGTCTATTTGTGATAATACTCTTTTACAATTTTTCTATTTACATAAATAAATTTGACTCATTTTTCATTTGCAAAAATTTTTTTCTGTAAATTAGCTCCTAAAACTGATTAAAGTATGATTTTGTTAACATTGAACAAATATCTATAATATAGTGTACAATGCAAAATCAGCACTGACTTCTGCTGCTAGCATTGTTAAATATTTTAATGATGATTATAATGTAGTAAAAATATTGTATTATTATATTTAATTTTAATAATTAAATAAATAGTGATCATAACTGATCTAATCATTGAACACTGAATCATGCATTTTGTAAATCAAGTCTCCGCATTAATACAATAACAGGAATAAAAAATTAATTAAAGTTCTGGTCATTTCTGAAATGACCACAAATGGTAAATTTAATTATTCAAATATGTATTGGAATTTGAGCTTATCGAGAGCATCGATAAATTTACCTGTACAACCAATACAGAAAATATTTAAAACTAAATATTTTCAAATTTTGCGTGAAAACCAATATTTAAAATAGAATATTACAAAGTTTGGCTTGATAAAGATTATTTCAATCAGATGAAAAAATATAAATAAAATATCATTCGATAATAGTGAAGAATTCTTCAAGGAAAAACTACAATGTACTTGGTTGTGTGGTATACGATTAAATGGTAATAAATATTTTGTAATTATTATCTTAATTTCAAAAAGTTTTGCAAAAATATTTATTAATTTTATAAAATTTTGAAGATGCAATTTTCATGTTAAATAAAATTTGCTAAAACTAATCTATATTTAATATTTAGAATTTGTATTCAGTATTTAGAATTTGTATTTACTATTTGGAATTTGTATTTAGTATTTAGAATTTGTATTTAGTATTTAGAATTTGTATTCAGTATTTAGAATTTGTATTTAGTATTTGGAATTTGTATTTAGTATTTAGAATTTGTATTTAGTATTTAGAACTTGTATTTAGTATTTAGAATTTGTATTCAGTATTTAGAATTTGTTGTATTTGATGATTCTACCTAACAAGAAGTACCAAGCCGAACATTTGTGGTCAAATTCTGAAGAAATATAACTTGTTTCCCAAGAAAAAAACAATTCACAACTTCAGTAATTTGTTTTTTGATTCATTTCAAATGAAATTTAGAGTTTTATTTATATTATTATTTACGGATGAATTCAAAAAATATTCAAATTTTCAAATAGTTTGATTGAAAAGTCGTCAAATGTTATGTGCAGAGAATTGTTTGCTCGTATAAAATATGTATAAAAACAAGTTTTTTATATATTTTTTAATTCTAATATAATTAAAAAAAATAAATTAATAGGTAAAAATGCAAATTTCAGTTCAATCATTCATTAATTCCTCTTGCAAACGGTTCAATGCACTGAAATGTCAATTTAAAAATCTTCAATTGCTGCTGTGCTTTTTCAAAACTATCCATTTCTCGATGTGTTAAACACAAATTTTAGCCTAAAACTGGTATGTTTTGGAGAAGAATTTCTTCGCGCATTTAAATCAAAAAATATTTTTTGAAATAGACAAAAATTTAAAGCAAAACAAAATTGAATTGAACTATATTTCAAGTCAAATAACTGTGAAGAAAATAAATTCGCTTCAATGGCAATTTTGAATGTTATTTCAAATTTAATACAACAGTACAAGAATAGCAGAAATTTTTTGAACAAGCAATGCAAAAATATTTTTCATTTTTACAGATTTTTTTGAATTTTCAGATTTTTTTGAATTTTCAGATTTTTTATTTCTGTTGTCAAAATTTTTTTTTGTAAATAAAATATCTTACAAATAAAGTTTTGCAAATAAAATAAATGTCTGTTATAGTTTTGCTTTCGTGGTATATTTTATAGATATTACACTTTATGACTTTCAGCATTTAGCTTAATTCAGCAGATATTTAAAGCTCAGGTGGTTACTACCTTTGTCAAGCGGAAAACTTTACTTTAACAGTAAATATCTAGCAATATTTAATACTTTCACTATTATTAATATTATTATTACTTATTATTTATTATTATTATTATTTGTTATTGTTATTAATATTACTATCAAAATCACAATTGTTGTTATGATTATTATGCCTGGTGGGTATATATTTTCATTATTGTTAATGATATAAAAAGAATATTAGGATGAAAAAAATGCTGAACTTGAACATAAACCTTCAACAATGAGGGAAAGTGATATTTAAGAAGGATTAATAGATATTCAACGAATTATTTGATACTAAAATTATTTGTCCTAAATTTTTAATGTAATTTTGAGAAATGCATGAACGTATAGACAGATAGATTGATAGTAGGAAGAGAAGAACAGGCAATTTTATAGATGATCTTGCAAATTGGGAATTTACAGAAGCAAATTTTAAAGGTTGAATGAATGAATGAGTGATTGAATGACTGAGTGATTGAATGACTGAGTGAATGAATGAGTGATTGAATGACTAAGTGAATAAATGAATGAATGAATAAATAAGTAAGTGATCATGAGCAAAAATCAAATCAAATAATTTTACGTTTGAAGAGATAATCATTTTTTGATTGCTTTTATTCTCTTGCTATGCCAGTACTTTCAGTTACAATTTTTAATCGTTTATTAGTTATTACTATTTTCACTATTTGTTGTTATTACTTATTACGCTTGTGACTATATTATTTATCCAATTGATGTAATTGTGATTTCAGTTATTACAATAGTATAGTATAGTATAGTATAGTATAATATTATTAAGTTATCACAATAATTACTAGCATCTTTATATTGATAAGGATTTGTATGATCGTACAAATTTGAAATGTACAGAGACAAATTAATAGAATTTTAATATTAAAAAAATTACTTATAGTTAACACTGTTATTGTTATTATTGGAGTTATAGTAATTATTAATACATTTGTATGACTATTCCGTTATGTTTATATGATAATTAGGTAATGATAATATATACTATTATATTAGTTTACACGGAAACACGTAACATATATATACATAATTATTATAAAGTGAAGTATTGAGTATTATTATTATTATTTTTATTATTATTGCTGGTATCATCATATTATTATTTTTGTTACTACTATTATTATTAAAATTGTCGATCATTCATTTTAATATCTATAATCATTTTTAATTGCTCTATCAATTATTAATCTACTATATTGTTTACGGATATTCGAAAAAAAAAATGAAAATTATAATTAATAATTCATTTATGCATTTAATTAATTATACTTATAAAGAAAGTGACGAAATTAAATACTGATTAATTAATTTTAATGTAAAATAAATATCTTTTTTTTGCTTCATTAAGCTTTTTTGAATGATACTTTTTATGTTCACTACAAATAGAGTAAATGTTTTGCAAAACTTCAGGAAATGGAATTATTTTTAATTCCGTTGTTATTATTAATGCTGAAAAATTATTATTACTGCAAAGCAGAATTTACTTTTCATTTTAACAAATTCTTACAAAGAAATTATGGATCAAAAGTTCAAAAAAGTTTAGAAAGGCTCGATTTAGGATTTAATTATGGAGGAAGTTTTGGTGGCAAATTGGATGATAACGATGATGTCAAGCGAAAGGTTCATTTTTAATGAAAAGTTAATTAATTTTATAATTAATTAATTAACTTAATTTTTATAATCAAAATTAAAATATTTATAATTAAATATATTTCATAAATTCGATTTGTAATTTAATTTTTATAAAAATTATCCTAATATTTAAGCAGTTTTTATTATTTTTAATAGTTTTTAAAATTTTACTTTCAGGCAGTACTTTTTGTTCATGGAGCACTTTCCAGTGCTCAAATATTTTTACAACACCGGTATTACTTCATTCAACAGGGATATTCTTGGTCCGAACTTTATGCTACCTCATATGGTGATGGCTTCAGCTCAACAATTTTTGATGGAGTTCATTGCAAGTATATTAAGCAGGTATGCAAATAAATTTGATCAGTATTTGATTTCTCCAAATTTTTATTCAAAAGTTTTGATCAGAAATTAAATTTATTGGTAGATATGGTTTTAATATGATTATTTGATATTATATATTAGTAAAATATCAGCAATTTGTAATTATAATAAAATATTTTGGAATAATTTTTAACCTTTTCAATAAAAATATAATACATAATGTCAAATAATCATATTATAATTGGATAACTTAAATATGGTAGTGAAAAATTGTGGTCGTATAATTGTATCAAAACCTAACTTTTGTGAAACTATTTTTTGTTAATTATATTTCAAATTTAAATTTTAGATCTTTAATTGCTCAACAAAGTATATTTAATTTAAAAATTAGCAAATGTATATTTTATAAATTTGCATAAGTTCAGCAGATAATTAAGAATAAAAATATTAGCAAATAATATTTCAAAAATACTTTTGCAATTTAATTTTCTGCAAATTTTGTATTCAAATGATTTTTTAAACTTGAACTAATTGATTGTGGTAAAAAAATTTTTACATATTAAATTTTAATTTCAGATTCGATTAATGCTAATAGCTTTGAATAATTACACAGGCAAAAGTGTTGATATCATTGCCCACTCTATGGGTTCAGCGGTTTCGAGAAAGGCTATTTTAGGTGGTCATTGTTGCGATACTAATGAATTTCTAGGTGATGCCTTGACCCCAATTGTAAGTCTTGTTGAATTCCTATCATTTTATTCCTGAGCCAACTAATTAACTTTTTTAATTTGCTTTAATTAATTTCTTACACTTTAGCCTTTGCACTTGTATTTTCACTTTATTAATTCTTACTATTTTCAATTTGTATTTGAATTCATTTGAAATATCAAATATTTCAAACTTGTTTTTTAAGAAGAATTTGCCAATATTTATAGATAATACAAAAAGTCAAATATTTCTTGTGGTTTCTAATTTTATTGGTACTTTCAGGTGAATACTTTTATTTCTATTGCTGGTGCAAATTACGGTTTGGAAATATGCCCACAAATTATTACTATTTGTAACAATATATCATCGCTGAATTGCAACTCTAAGCTTATGGTATAAAATTAATTCAAAACAAATTTTTAAATATTAAATGAAAATAATAAATCCTTCCTATAATAATCGGAACTATTTTGTTAATTCAATCAAATTCAAATTTTGATCTATCTTAGCATAATTTTCAATAAAAATTTACTTCTGTATTAATTAAAAATTTCAAACTTAGAAAAAATTTGTTAATAAAAATTGCAGAAAGAATTAAATTCGCAAGGCAGTCGATTTGAAGGACGCAATTCTTACGATATTTATGGCCTTAGTGATTCCATAATCGGTCATACTTGCTGTAATAACAGATGTGCTATTCTATCAAATCATAATGCATCGTTTGAGATCAGTAACTTAGATCATTACTCACTTTTATCGCAAACTCTTGCATTACAACTATCACTGCTAAAACAGTCAGATAACCGAGATCGTAGTAACAGTATTACTGATGTCGATGATGAGGATGCTGAAGATGAAGCATATCAGTCATAATATTTATCAGTGATTTCATATCTGTAATAATAGCGAGCTGTTGTAGCAGCAACATTTAAATATAACTATAAGCAATATTACATTATGGACTAACTCAAACTTTTATCACAATTATTAATATAAAATTATACAAAAATTGTTACACACTATTACAGCAAATAAAGTTTAAATATAAAATTTTATAAAAAATGATCGATTTTCATTTGTATAAAACCAAATCATTCAAAAATATTTTGATTTCCAAATTTATTCAAAAAATATTTTTATTTTAATTCACTAAATATTGTACATTTGTATTTTGTATTTTATTTCTCGAAAAAAAAGATTTTAAATTTACATACTTTTGGGAGGAATATTGCAGAAGAAATATCAGAAGCTTAAAAAGCTGCGATAAAAAATATCTATAATAGTGCCTTTTTAATGGACTTGAAATTTATGCTATAGTTTGTGTTATTATCTGCTGTTACCAATTTTATTAATTTTTTATTTGAAAATTAAATTTCATTGTGAATTATCAATAAGCTTGACTTTTATTACTATATCATTTTGTACTATTAATGATAAACTGTATTATTATCAGTCATTTGTTATCATTATTATTAATATTAATATTATTATTGATATCATTACTAACGCTGTTATTGATTTAGTAATAAGTTGTATATTTTGAAAATATAATTAAATTATTCAGAGAATATAAACGGATTTTAAGCTAAAAATATATGATTTGCATAATTAAAATGCAAATTGAGCAATCAAAACGCAACTTTTTAAAGTTTAATTTTGTGTTTTTTGTTATGTTTCCAATTTAACTTAAAAAAGCATGTGAATACGAATAAAGTAAGAAAGAAAAGGCAACTAAAGCATATTTTGTCAGTTGTTTATTAATTATTAGTTAAGTTCACGCTATTTTCTTGTGACATATTCAGGTTCTATGCTACCTTTTAATATGTAATAAAAATATTACCTTCAAATAGCATAAAGCGATTTTTACAAATTTTATTATTAGATTACTTTTTTAGTCTCTTTTAAAAATTGACTTCACGTGCTTTTGGTACAAAAATTTATTATAAAAAATAAATTGCTAAAATTGTCAATTCAAAAATTTTTGAAATAATAATAATATTAGCGTTGATTAATAGTAATAATTAATTTTATTAAAAATTTTTATTGGCAAATTTTTAAAAAAAATTTTTGCAGAAATAAAAGAAAGCAATAATATTTGTATGCATATTACTATTTTTGTGCTAAAAATTATATTATTTCTGTTATTTTCTTTAATTAATCAAACACAGACAGTGTTTACAAATGATTTTAATAAATTTCTGATTGAAAATTATGGTGAAGAAATGCAAAAAAAATTGGAAAGAATAGATGTTGGACCAGGAATGATTGGAAGTTTTGGTGGCAAAGTAAAATCAGAGGATAAATTGAGCAAACGTGTAAGTCACGTAGAACATTAATATTAAATGTCATATTAAAACAAATTTTTACCCCATAAAAAATGAATTATAGATTAACTACTTGATTAAAATTAAAATAATCTTTATGCTATAAAAGTAATCATTGATTTTATCATGTTATTCAATAATATTTGTAACGCAAATATTAATAAATTACAAAATGAAGAGTCACGATTTTTGTATACAACACAAATTCACAATTTTTAAATGATTATAGTTACTTTCAAATATCACAAGTATTAAATCAAATAAGTTATTTAGTTCAAGATTAATTGTTTAGTTCAAGATTAATTCACTAAATAAAGTATATTTGAGCCAATAATATTTGTGCACGGTGCGTTATTAACAGCGATTTATTTTATCCCACACTATGATTACTTATTAAATCATGGATATCTACCAGAAGAGTTGTATGCAACAACCTACAATAGTGGCTTGACTTCATCATTATTCAATGTACCTATCACATGTGATGAATTTAAACAGATTAGTTCACTTTTTTACTTCTATAAACTTTTTTAACCTAGAAAAATTAATTTTAAAATACACTAAAAGTTCAAAGTTCATTTTATCTTTTGAATTTTGCAATTAAAGATCATTAAATTTTTGCAAAATTTTGCTTCCTTTAATTTTAAATGAAATATTTGAATAGAATGATTGCATATTTTATTTTCAATCATTAAAAATGATAGATTTAAGAGATAATTTGTTGCAATTGCAAAATTGAAAAGATAGAAATAGTCTGTGAACTTTGCGCATTTTTAAGACTATAAAGTTTGCAGCAATTATTAATTAGTAAATTTGAATTTGATTAATTAAATTAAATGATTAATAAGATACTTGTGTGATAACAGTGGTCAGATTGCTATGATTTTTAGATCAGAAACTTCATTATTGCTGTACATGAATATACACAAAAAAAAGTTGACATAATCGCATTTTCACTTGGTGTACTCATTTCGAGAAAGGCTATTTTGGGTCAAAAATGCTTGGACACAGGCGAACAACTTGGACATAGCATCACTTTTATGGTTTTTGTTACTTCCATATTTTGCATATTATGCAAATATTAATTTCATTAATATAATTTGACATATTTTCATACAAATTGCCATATTTAGTCCTACTTTGTTATTTTTATTTACTTAATCTTAATCTTAATCTTAATCTTAATATTAATCTTTATGTCTTAATCGAAAACTTCAAAGTTTGAGTAATCTTAATCTATCATGTATTAATTGAAGACTTCAAAGTTTGAGAAAAAAAATTAATCTTTGAGAAAATTAATAATATTAGACAACGTGTATTTCACTGCTAGCCTTTTTTTAGCAGATATCACATAATAAAACTGAAAATTTACTTTTAACATAACCTTTTGCTTTATAAAATTTGCAATTTTTCAGAGGTATTGCTATTTTAAATAAGTTTACTGTATTGTTTTCCTTACATTTTACATCTTAATTTATATATTTTTTTATTTTATAAAAAATAAACAATATTAGAAAAATAATTTTTAATAAGTAGTTTAAATTTTAGTTCAAATTTTTAGGTAGAAACATTTATTGCTATTGGTGGCGTTGCGAACGGATTACAATTTTGCAAACAAAGTGAAAAAAGTTGTAAGGATAAAAATTCTATGCGATGCAATTCTTTATTACTGGTAATGTAATACGAAAATGATAATTATTCAGTCAGTACTGTAGTATTTAAGTACCAATTTGAATCAGAAATTATTCATATTCTGTACAAGTTTTGTGTAATACTTGATAAATTATGAACAAAAAAACTCAGAATATATTCATAATTGAAATAATCATAAATTAATAATAATAATAATAATAATAATAATAATAATAATCAAAATTTTAGGAAGAATTGAATTCGCAACCAAATCGTTATGAAGGTAATAATTCTTACGCTCTTTTTTCTTTTGGTGATCGTGTTTTAGGATTAAAATGTTGCAAAAATTTGTGTGGTCAGCTGCGCAATGCAGTTTTTACGATTGGTTTTCCAAATATGGACCATTTTACACTTTCCTCAGCTACCAAAGATATTCAGCTATATTTATTAGAAAAGCATCCGACTAGTGATAATTTGCATAATGATATTGTATTTAGTGAGAAAATTGAAATTTATATGTGATCAAAATGATGGGAAATTTGTAGCAATTTTAAGGTAATAACTGAAAATTTTTCAAATATAAATAAATAACCAAAAATAAATGAAGCTTTTTTTTGCATAAACTTATTTATGGTAATAAAATTTGAAATGATAATAATAGCTAATTAATTTCAAATTCTCAACGTAATGATAATTATTATACCAAAAGTGTAAAATGAATTTAAATTAATTCAAATTTAAGTGGAAGAAAAACGGAATTTCGGAAATTTATAGTGGCTGATATTCAAAATGTTTCAAAAATGAATAAGACTGACAAATTATTTGTTTTGAATGATCTGGTTTGTTTTAAAAAAATTGATGATCAGTCAGTAAACGAAGTTCAAAAATTTTTTCGCTGCTTCATGAAAGTTAACTTCACGTGATTTTGCATTAATAAATATTAATAATTGCAACGAGTTTTACTTTTATGGTAAGAACTTAATTTTAATCAACTATGACAAATAGATTAAAAATAAATAAAATTAAAAAAGATCATAAAAACAGCAATGTTTGTGAAGAAAGGGTCAAAATGGATTAAAGATCAGTAGGTTAAAGAGTAGAAAGCTTGATCAGAACTGCTTGATAAGTTAAGTAAAACTGTTCAAAAGTAATCAAAGACTTGAAGTAAAGTGTCAAGAATTTTGGCACATTTTTCAAACGTGATAATATTGATAATTAAACAAAAATTGTGATATTAATAAAAAATAATTTTTTTAAAATTAATGCAGTTAATAAATTATATATTTCAAATCATTATACGAACAACTTTTTGCTTATGAAAATACAGAGGAAATTAATTTTGCAGCATTAGCAAATGATAAATAAAGTTATTTTGGTAAACTGATCACGTGACGTGTAATCAGTGAACTTTTCGACCAAGAAGTACTTGATCTAGTGAACCTTCAAAAATGTAATTGCTAAACTCCTAAAAGTTAAATTTTGCAAAATTAACTTCACTAGAATTAAAAATTAATATCAAAAGTACTTCATGCTTAAGTGTTTAAATTACAGTATAGCAGCAATATATTGTAGTGTATATCCTTTATATATACTATAATTGTTAAAGATGAAATAACGAAGAGAAATTTATCAAAATATGCTAATTTCTTAGCAGTATACTCACAGAAATATTATATCTCATTTATACAGTACACTACAGTACTCAGCCGAACAAATGAAATATAAAGGATTAATTTTGAATGCATAAATTAGTTAAACAAATTGCGAGCGTACAAAGCGGTTGTTCAGTTTTATGATGGCGGAAAAGCTAATTCATTTCTTGCTTAAATGCTCAATTTATATGCTAACTTTGGTTTTCTTTGCTGTAGCAACGATAGTAATAAAGCGAAATGTTTTTGCTGTCATCTATTTCATACTGTTTGCAATATATACTACTGTAATCGAAGTATATCTTTGTTTTAAATATTTAAAGTTTCCATAATTTTTTAAAATTGCTAAACGAAAATGATTAAAATTATTACTTGAACTAGGATATTTAAATTTAAAAGAAATGATAATTTGAAATAAACGGAAAATTGTAACAAAATTTAGCTTTATATTAACATTACTAACACTTTTGGTAATGAACTAAGTTTTATGCGTCTTAATTAGAATATAAGCGCTTTTTCAATTTCAAATTTCGCTTCTAAATTAAATAATTTAAATTTAATGCGAACAATTTAAAATTTTGGCGCTAATTCTTTAAATTTTTTTTAATTAAAAGAAATTTGTTAGTAATTATGAAAGTGAAATTAGTAAATAAGCAATATTATTTGTATAAATTTTTCTGAGTAATATAATTTGTTGTTTCAGACATCGATGTCATTCTTCATTAAAAAAATTATTTGCTTCGCGGTTGTTTTAATGCTACTTAATTTGTTCTATATAATTCTTAGTTTGCCTACAGTAATATTTTTTCCATCTTATCGTATATTCACTATTATGCTACGACCATTACAACAAGAATATCAAAGTAAACTTTTGTTACAGTAAAATGAAAAACTATATTTTTCATCTGAAGAATCCAACAAAAAAAAAATGATAGAACAGCAATATTTTAATTATTCTAATTAATTTTAGCGAATAGTTCAGTCGATAATGATTTGATAAGAACTGTTGTCATAGCGGTTATTTTGTTCGTGCTAGCAACGCTATGCATAATAATGGATTACGTTACATTTGAATTTAAAGGTTAATTATTTTTTTATTTTATATTTGTAATTTGTGTTTTACGTGACATGAAGACTTTAAAATATTAAAATATAATTAACAAAAATGATTTGCATTTCAAAAACCTTGTTGAAAATAATAATAATAATAATAAAAATCATCATAATCATAATCATAATATCTGAAATGAATAACTAAATATTTTTTAAAGTCGAAAACAATTTTCATAATAATAAGTCATTGCAAGTATTTGTTACAATCTTAATAAAGTAATTATGTATTAACAATTCTAATTTTGTCAGTTTATGAATTTTTAGTATCACTTCCGTCAATTTTCACAAAATATAAAAATACAATTGGACGTGTGATGCTTATTACTGCCCTAAGGATAGTTAACTTATGTTGCGCAGTCTCACTTGCATTTTGCGCTATCGACACGGTATATTAATTAGTTTTTTAGAATTAATTTTTTGCATATTTTAACTTAAACTTTAAGCATAATAGGGATCAAAAATTTATAACATAATAAAAAATACATTTAAAAAATCTTTTCAAGTTTTAATAAAAAAAAACTTATGTATTAAGTTAAAAATTTTTGCATTCGTTCTTAACCTAAAAAATCGTAACTAATTCAAGTTAAAAGAATTAAATTTAAAAAATTTTAAAATTAAATTTAAAAAAGTTTCAAAATTGTAATTTAAAAAAATCTACCAAAAATTTATTAACAAATTAGATTTGAATTTCTAAAAATATAAATAATGTCTAATAACGAGTCTATAATCAAGTTTTTTAGATATCCCTGGCAAGTTTGCCAATTTTATTTGGAGCTATAGCACTCTGCTCGACAACAAGGGATAAAAGTCTTATTTGCCTAGTAAATACATATTGTTTATCAGTGATAACGATTATAAAGCTTACCTGGAATGCTTATTATGGATTCACCATAGTTTCTAATTTTTGTGCGCAACCTGAACTACCTGCTTGGTTGTACTGGTTTGGATTCATTTCTCCAAGCAAATACACATCTTTGGTTTGAATTTTTTATAATTTAATTATTTTTTAATTCTTTAATTCACTCGTGTAAAAACTACAAAAAATTCTAGTTCATATGTAGTTCGATTTTTTAAATATTAATTAATTTAAACAAAAGTTTTCATTTCAGTTCTTTACATGCAAATAAAAAACTTTTATAACCTTTATGATTATTATTTTTCAAATTAATACAAACTTAGTGAGTTCTAAGAAAAAATTGTAGCACCTAATTAAAGCTTTCTTACAGATTCTTGTAAATTTATGTTAATTTTTTAGCTTACACTACTCTATTTCTCCAAATATTAATTTTCATTTCGTGATTTCAGATTTTATTGTAATTTTGTTGTAAATTTATGAATTCTAATTATAAAAATTGGCTGTAAATAACAGTAAATTTTTTTACTGGTCGCATTCTACAGACAAATAAATAAAATTAAACAATGTTAGGCACCAGTTGTATATTTGTCAGCCACATTTATGCGATCTATATTGGAACATTTAAGAAAGTTATATCTCATAAGGTATCATACCGTTCTTCCTGCCCTACAGTTTTCGACAGTGACCCATATCAAAGCTGATAAGGGAACAAAACTATTCATCCAATTTTACATCAATTATTTCTTATACAAATTTGGCTATGAAGTAAATGTTTATACTATTTATACCAAATTTTTTGGCGATCAATTTATGATTTGATCAAAGCAAAAGACTTTAAATTAACTGAATAATAATTCAGCAAGACTATTATGGATTGAAACTTCTAAAAAGTCAAAAATATTTCACTTCATCTGAACTATTTTTGTAAGTAATTAAAATAAATTCAGTTTAAATTTATGTATTCTAATTAATTCCTTAAATATATTTAATTAATAAATTATCTTTTGATAAATAACGTTAAGTATCACGTATAACAAATATTACAGTTTCTTTGTTTATATGAAAACAAGTAATTTTGAACAATTTATTAAATTTAAAAAAGTTAAAAAAAACATAAAGAGTAACTAAAATATTTGTGAGCTAATTAATAATGATGATAATAAAAGTGATACTGATGAAAAGAGTGATTATATCACTATAACTTTAGTTCAGATTTGTACAAACATAAGAGTTTTCTGCTTTTTTAGGTGTTTTTAATATTTTCATTGTTATCAGTGGTGGTAGCTACGAACATTATATCCCTGATAACACTGCTAATATTAATGCTATGCGTGCTTCTAGACAGATCTTACGTTAGACGTTATTTTCTTTTTTTTGTTACTTATCACGTTGTTGTGTTCTTCTACGTATTACTGGCTTACATTGGAACGATGCCTGGAAATTGCTTTGGTAAAATTTTATATAAATTTTTTTGTTATAATTTTTATTTGAAATGAACAGAAAAATAACGATTACTATTACTTTTTATAAATTTAGATTGAAAACAACAACAACGATAGTAATGACAATAATAACAATAATTAATAATAGTAATTATTATCATTATTATTGTGAACAAATTAACATTTGGAGTTTACTATCTTGATATGCACTTGAAATAGTTTTAGTTTAAAAGAGTTACTCACATTACTACCTATTTTCTTTATCAGAAGATCAAAAATATCCTTCAAAAACATGCTAAAGTTTTCACATTTCTTAAGTATATAATACTTCAGTTCTTAAGTTCTTAAGTATTATAGTATTCTGACTGTGTTCACGTTTCTCACGTTTGACGTTAAACTTATCTTGACAAAAGTCTACAATTGTTGATTGCATTTAATTAATATTGAAAGTACTAAAAAATTATTCATTTCACAAATTCTATACTTCCTTTTATTATTAAGTAAGTAACAAAAAAATATGTAATATTAAACTTAGTCAAAATAATTTTTGTCGAAAATAAAAAATGCAATAATATGAAAAAATCGTTATTAATGATTTATTTATGTTTGAATATTAAATACAATGCGAGGGAATCAGTGCAAAAGTCAATAGTTTTAATTTTTAAAATAAACAAAAATATTTATTAAAAAATTCGTAAAAGAAAATTTTATCAAAATAGATTATTACACTTCTCAACTTAAAATTTTTTAAAAACTGCTGCTTTTTATCAACTTTATCTTGATAAAATTAAAAACTATTGACTTTTTTCTAGAAAGTTTAGTTAATTAATAATTTAATCAAAATTTAATTAATCATTAAGTCTGGATTAATTATTAAGTTTAATTAACTATTAAGTCTAAAAGTTTAATTAATATATTTTCATAAATAATACTTTTTTGGCTAAATTTAAAATGTTATTGAAAATAACTTTCAGAATTTTTCGAATTCATTGAAATATTTTTAAATTTAATTTTAAAGTATGAAAATATTTTAATTAATACTTTTTAAAATTGTTGTAATTTTCAGAAATATTTATTGACACGAATGGTGCCCTATACTTTCCTCTTATCAATAATAATGGACAATTCCCCAAAAATGCACAACAAAAAATGTCTCATTCTATTTTGTTTTATTTTTTAAGTGTAGCTTTTGCGTTAAAGCAACTTGCGCATTTTCAGATTGAGGTTAGTATGCGATTATTAGTCAAGAGAATATTACAGTAATATATTCATAATTGCTAATTTGGCGCAATTTATACTTTATTATTTTTGAAGTAAAATTTTTGTTAAATAAATTATATCACAGCGAAATGAGTGTAATGATATGAATGGCGACTCAAATGATGGCATAACACTTGCATTACAAGCTAATAAGTCCTTGGAATTCAATCCTGTACATGATTATTACTCGACTAGAACAAAGTAATAGATAAGTAATTTAATCTATACTTATATATTAAGCTTTTTTATTAAAAGTGTAAAAATTCCATTTCAAATTATTAATTTTTCATCAAAATGTTTAAATTTGTAATTTATATCATTTTTAAATTATTAATATTTTAAAAATATTAATTAAGTATTTACAAAATATGTTATTTAATTTATTAGTTATAAAAATTCTTTAATTTTGCAAAAAAATTCCTTCGAAATTGCAAAAATTACTTTCAAAAATAATATAAATTAGTTATTAATTTTCAAAAATAAATTTCATTATTTAAAAAAATCTTTTGCAGTATTCAATTACATACGCTAATATTTTATAGATTAAAAATAAAATAATATAAAAGAATTCAATAAAAATATAATTGAAAGTATATAATTTTGGTAACAATTAATTGAAGCATTTGGTAAAATAAAATTTATTATTTTTAATATTTAGCAAATTTTGTTAAATGCTTAATTAATTTATTTGTTAAGGATTTTTTTGGATGTCATTAAGCAATTAGCTTTTTCATATTTTCATTGGATTCCACTTTTATTGGTATTTTCACATGGAATCAGATTTTCTTTGCCTATTTTCTTATCAACACTTTTGATTGTTTTGGCATTTATAAATATGTGGCGTGGTGCTGACCTTTACCTTTCTGACCCCAAAGTTTTCATTAGATCATGGCGATTGCTTACTTTATATTTATTGACGATAATATTTTTCCAAATAGCAGCTATAGTAAATTACTTACTTACTTTACAGATTTAAAAACTATTTTATAAATTATGTGTAAACTATTAAATATTTGAAAATCAATTTTTAATTTATAAAAAATACTCGAAAATTTAATCATATTTGATCTATTAAAGATTAAAATTCAATTAAAAATATTTTAAGAATTAAGCTCATATTCTCTCAAAATATTTTTTCCTTCCAATTAAGCTGCATGTTTAGCTTCTTTAATTAACAATTAAACTTTTTTCCTAATGCCACTGCTAACAATTGAACATTTAGATAGCACTAACATTTTTTGAATATTTCATCCAACAAGAATCTCAAAAATCGCTTGCCTATGCGTTATTCCACGTGTTATTGTCATATTTTACGATTAATTGTCAAAAAGGATGCAGTAATATTTTATAAAAATTAATTTCAAGCAATTTTAAAGCATAAGATCGAAATTCAGAATCGATTTAATCAGTATTAATTTTTATTATAATTATGAGTAATTCATTATATCTTGCAGAGAATTATGTCGATTTGCCTTCAGATAAATTCCTATTTGATGTTTTAGTCTTTGCTATTCTTTTACTTCAGATTCGAATGATTAGCACGTGGTATATCTCTACTTATTGTATTTATGAATTTGCTTTCATACAAAACTTCAACAATTTCTACGACATAATCACTTATTGAAAAATACAAATTTAAAATTTTAGACAATATTCAATATCCTTCTGATCTGACTCTTTTCGCATTTAAAGGTTTTGAGTACAATTAAATGCATAATGTTAATTTAGGCATTTCCAACGAACTGTAGTCAATATTCGAGCTGATCGCATAGTTTGTTACCGGTAATTTTTAATATACTGTAATGAATCAGAGCAAAAATATTTCAAAATTTCAGGTCAAGTATTGTACAAAAATAAGTTTTGGAATTTGAATTTGCCCAAGCTTGTTATTATTATTCTTAATTACATTTATTAATGTGCATCTTTCAAAATTTTCAAAATAGTACAGAAAAAAGATCAAAAGTTGAAGTAAAAATTCTGTAGAATACGTAGTCGTTATAAATCTATGAAAGTATACTAATTTTGTGAATAAAAAATAGTTGTAAAATCACGATATTGATAACTTTATGATATGAAATGGAGTGAACTAATCCACTATTTTTGATATTAATACAAATTATTCGATAGTAATTTTCGCTGCATCGCTCATAAGTGGATTTATTATTTGGAAAAAAATACTATTAATATTAATGACAGTATTTTTTAAATTTAATATTAATGATAGCACTAATATTATTTAGTATTAATAGTAGTATTTTTTATTATGCTTAGTTACATTTATTAATATGTATTTTTCAATATTATTTTACGTTGTTAGTATTATGTTAGTATTATCATTATTGTTAATATTATTTTGACTAAATTCTTATGACAATCAAGCAAAATTACAGAGGTGTAGTACTGTACAGTCAATTAATTTTCAAAGGAATGACTGTAATTCAACAGGAAGAACGTGTACGGTTAGCCACTCTACGGCATACGATAAACGGAATGGAGAAAATGGATTTATCGTTTGGAAAATGGCAAATAGAATGTATAATTTTTTTAATCGGAAAAAAAATTTGCGATTTCAATTTTTATGCAAATTTACTTTGTTTGAACTAGTAAAATTGCTATTTAAAGTTTTGATAAGTTTTAAAAATCATAAATCAAATTTTTAATTAAAATACTTTTTATTAAGTTGAGTCTTAGCAAAAATATTTTGTTAGTATTAACTACTTAAAACTTTACATATTGAGTGGGATTTGGACTAAAAAAATCTTTGAAAGTTCAAAGTTCAGTTTCAAATAATTTTATTGAGTAAATTTTATTTTCTAAAATTACTACTGCTTGTTTATTTTTATTTTTATTTTTTGTACTAAATATAACAGTTATAATTAAATTATTTATTAAGCAATTCGTGGATGGAATGAAAAGTTGCTCAGCGCTTCTGAGATGGCAATAGAAAAAGCAAATCAAGATTCATTAAACCATTCGTAAGAAATTTTTGGAATAACCTAATTAACATTTTTAATTGTTTTATTTTTAAATGATTAAATTAAGTTTATTTTTTAATCTTTTTTGGTGTTTTAAAATTTTATTAGCATAATTTTTAGACTTAAAATAGATTATATTTCTGATGCGTTAAAAGAACAATTGCGAGATGATATTTCAATGAATATAAAGAAGAAACGAAAAAAGGTTATTAAATTTATTTACAATTTTGTATACTTTAAAATAAGTTAATTAAATTACTTTTTAAATACTTCAATCAATTAGTTAATTAAATTAATTAAAAAAATGCAGATTATTATTTGCTTAAATCATTTTCAGCAACGATTTATATCTCTTAGCAGTCTGCTCGAAAGCTTTGCTTTTTGGCTTAGTCTTAAAACTTTAGATTATCGTTATATTAGATATGTGATTAACAAGGAGAAAGAATTGCTACTACAAAAATTACCACAAGTAAGTTTTATTTTACCATTATTTTACAACCTTTTAAAATTTTTAAAATTAGATTGTTATAAAATTAAATTTTCTTACGTAAAGGCAAAGATTTAAATCAAATTCTTGCAGGAGTTAAGTTTAGTCTCAGAAGAATCCCTTGCAAAATTACAAGGATACAATCTTGGCAATAGCATATGTTTAGTCAAAAATGTCACCGATATTTTGAAGTAAAATAAATTAAATAATTAAATTATAAATCATAATATTACAAACATAGCAAGTGATCAGCAAAATTAATATATTAATTGTTTAATATTTTAAAAATTAATAACAATGCAAAAATAAATCATACTCATTCCATATTAAGCATTTACAAATAATAATGATTATTTTGAATATTTGACAAATTTCAATTTTAAATATAGATTTCAATCCTTTTTATGTTCATACAAAATTACTTTTTAAGTATTATTTTCAAGCATATATTCAAGGAATTAATTTTCTTGTTGAGGACAAAAATTTAGTAATTTAAATAAAATTTCTTTAGAATTCCAAAGTTTAATCCGTAAAAATTAAGTAAATATATACAGTATTTAGTATTAAAAGCTTTTGATGCAAATTGAGCTGCAATTATACTGTGCGCAATACTTCTGTTACAGTCTTTTTCTACAATTTTTTAAATAAAATAATCAAAATAGTCTAATCTTTTTGATTTTTAGCAAAATATCAAGTAATTAAGTTATTTATTTGAATGTTCAGATATATGAATGATGTGCATAATCGATGGTTACAATTATCACTTTCACGACGTTTGCTAAGTTCCGTAGGAACTTTCATAGAGTGTAATATTTCCACGTTGTGTTTTATTGTTATGATAATTGTACACGGAAATGCGCAATGCTTACTGACCCTTCCTTTGGCCTTACTTGTATATTTTTGGGGGGCACTTACAGATCATGGTTTTCGTCTTATGTGGATTATTGCTATTTTCTATGTTCAGGTAGAGTAACTTAATCTAACTGACGTAAACTTACTTTGATGCATACAAATATTATCTCAATTTTGTCCAACCTTTTGATTCAAATTTATTAAATAATTATAACTATTTGCATTTACAGATACAGCTAAAGTGATTTAGCAGAATTTTTTCAATATTTATTCTAAAACTGTTAAATAATCAAAATAATTCAATTATAAATTATAATATTACAAACATAGCAAATGGTCATTAAAAGCAAGTAAAATTAATCTAGTTACTTAAGTAATCATTTTTGATAATTAATAATAAAACGTATAGTTGTATTTGTATGCACATTAAACGAGTTATAATAATATATATTAATCACGCTTAAAAGTAAATTTGCAGATAATGATCGTTGTGATGATTTGTTTCAAGTACACGTCACTACCGTGGGTTTGCACGGACACGGAAAGATGTAGTTACTTAAGTGCATCAGTAATAGGAAGTTTTGTAGGTATTGCAGATGAACCCATGTCGGTTTTATTGCTTTGTATTTTGGTTTTGGCATTATTTACTCAACGACATATCATGAGGGTACACTTTTATAACAAACTTTATACGGATAAATTTCAAATTGTATAAAATTTATCGGAAATAAAATACACTTGCAAGCTTAAAATATTAACAAAATAATTACTATATTAAATTTGAAGATAAACAATTTCGATTATAAATTAATTATTTAATTAATATAATAATATTTAAAACTAGCTTTGATATTTAAATTTAATGACCTCTAAAATTAACTCACCGTAAAAAGTCATACAATCCCTGCAAATACATGCAACTATTTTATGCAGCGTAATGGATTTTGGTATGTATCAAGTAAACAACTGCTAAGAAACAGAAGTTAGCAATTTATATTACTTATTTTAATTAATTCATTACAACAATTTATAATTAATATTAATAAATAATAGTTAATTAGCAAGAAAATTGGAATTATGAAGTTAAAAAAGTATCACAACTAATAAAAAAGTTCAGTACGAAAAAAATGTTACTTAATTTTTGAAAACATTTACTTATAATTATACTTAATACTTCTTACAACGTAATTCAATGCGAACTGTACGCGTACAGTAATTACTTTAGGCAAACAAAAAAGTTGTCTTCTGACGATACTGGCTGATATGTTCAAATCTCATCAACAAACGCCCTATAATTATTATCCATGGATGATTTTATCAGATTTAGCTGCATTGACTATTTTAATATTTAACTTTTCACATTTTGACTTGGCTCGACGAGATGCATTAATGTTGACGGAAATCAAAAGTCATTTACTGCCAGATACCTTTATTTATTATTTCATGACTAGCATAATAATGGTAATTTAGTATTTAAATAAAAATTATATTTTTAAGTAAACTTTTATTTAATTACAATTTAATTTAATTATAGATATTTTTGGATCGTATAATATATCTTAGAAAATCAATACGTGCGAAATTTATTTACTTAATTGTGGAAGTAATTGCAACGCATGTATATATTATGACTGTGCTTTTTCTGGCTCGAACGAGGCTTGTATTTTCATTACAAATTATGTTTTATGCAAAATTTGCATACTTGAAAAGAATTACTTAAAAAATCAAAATAATTTTCATTATTGGAATTTATAATAATCGAATTTATAACACTAAATTATAAGTGATGCTATATTCTTCCAATATAAACTTAATAAAAAACTATCGGATAACTATGAAATTGAATTAAATATATTTAGGGAAGATAATGAAGCTAAGGTTAAACGTGTAAGCAATGGTTTGTTTTTATGGTACATGGCACGTGGAAATCATATGTTGGCAAGTGCTTTCCAAATTCGTGATGGATATCCACAGTATATTATTGGTCATACTATGATGAAGCCTAATCCAATCCACTGGATACTGTATGCTGGGTTTGTTATTCAAATTATTTCATATAACTGTTTCGATTTTTACAAAAATATATCCATTATAATGCAATCAATAAGAAAATAATACTTTTATGGTTTATTTTACTTATCCATTTTTTGTCACATGAATTATTCAACAGTGTAACCTATGACCTTATTGTTTTATAAAAATAATAATAGTAATAGCTTATCACTATTATCATAAAATATTAATTATAATAGTGTGATAGAACTGGAAAATTGATTATCACAATTGTAAATAATGACGATGATAATTCTAAATATTAATCTTTTAACCATTAAATATTGTTATCATGTGAATACTGAAAATTTGGCACCATTTGCATATTTGGCAAAAAATATTTTGAAGATTTCATTAATTTTTGTTATAATTCTTTTGTGATATAAAATACATTTTCGGTTTTTTTGGAGGCAAAATTGTCCAAAAAGGATTTCTGCATATTTAAATTGCATATATTCTTGCATATATTAACTTTTTCAAATACTGTATTTCAGTTTTTTTTATGCTGTTCCATTATTCGAGATCACATCTGTTTTGGATTGGACATTCACTAGAACAACTTTAACAATGCTTGAATTTTATAAACTTCAGACAATCAATTACTACCTTTACTTTATTCATGGATTACGTAAACTAGAAGTGGTAACTTTTACGTAAAATCTTCAAATTTTTTAATCAAAAATCCAAACTTTCTTTTAAATTCAATTTTTATCAAAATTCATCCAAATTTTTTTCAATTATATTTTTTTCAATTTTCAATTTTTTTCAAATTAATTATTAGAAATTAAATTTTTCAAATTTGGTGCAGCATTTTATTTCTTTAATCAATCAGTTTTCAACTTTCAACTTTGAACTTGATTTAAAATTTGAATTTTTAAAATGTTTAAACAATTCAATGAAGGATTTAGTTTTATCCACGAAAACGAGCAGAAACGATTTCTATGAAATTAAAAGTTTTCATTGGAGGTGGCACATTACTCGGAGTATTCATTCTGCTTGTTGTTATCATTTTATTCATTTCAGAAAATGTTAGTTGCTTAAATTTGACATCTGCAATTGAATCAAACTATTATTGCTCTCATCTGCTTGCAATATTTTTGATAAATTGAATAATATTTGCTTAAAATATGATTCTGTTTGGATTACTTAGTCATAAGTTGTGAAGCTAATTTTATTCAGAAGCCCTGATAGGCTATTTTATTATTCTGCTAATATGAAAGTAAAGAAACTTGCTAAAGTCATCTTTTATCCTAGATATTTGTCGGAGTATTTTTACCTGTTGATATGGTGCTTACACTTAGAATTGGCTACCATGCAGTATGTATCTTTTATTTTAGATGAACTTTGAACTAATTTAAAACTTTACATTGTCATAACTGGTACAATAACTGATAACGACTGATAAAATTACAGTAACTATTATAACTAATAAAACTACATTAAATGCATTAATTTTAGATGTACATCACCATTTATAACAATTATAAGCCACACTTTTACAAACTAAGACGTATTTACTTATTTGAATGCATTTATTACAGATCATATATGAATATCATACCGAAGACTTACCACTGATTAGTGTGCAAGAATATAATCAGCTTACCAACTACTTTGAAGATGATCACCATGCCAGGAATTATCTGTACTCACTCGGTCCGGAAACAATCATTGACGTAAGCGATGTTATCACGCAACTTTATTAAATTAATTAATATGAATTTGATGCGCATTTTAATTAGGATTATTTGTCCGCATTTTATTTTGCATAAAACTATTTAAAAATATCGTTTTAATTTTTAGATTACTGTAATTAATTTTTGCTCATTTAGGTCTTGTATATAATGCAACTAAACTATATAACTGGTAAGGTAACAGTGACAAATGATTAAAAAACAATGTTGGCTTCAATCAAGAAATTCGAAATTCGAAAAATATTAGCTCAAATTTTAGCAAATTTGCTATTCATCAACTAGAATTGACTTCAGGTAACATTGAATGAACAAGGAATCACTTATTACGTGCATCCAATCTGGGAAACTCAGCTCATCAAGCTTATCACTTCAGCAAATACTCCACTAAAAATCAAATGTCGTATGAACCTGAAGAGAATGCGTCTTCAAGAACAAGAAAGTTCGCAAATATAGTTTAAAGTTCATTTAATTTTAATAATTTTTAAACATATACTCAAATGGTATTTCAGTCCAGATACTTAAGAAAATAGACAGTACACCTCTCGAAGCAGGTCGAGAATGGGATATGGATATGACTCAAAACGATATGAAAAGACTTTTAAAGGTAAAATTTAGAACTATCTTAGTTAAAAAGTAAATTAAGTTCACCAAAAACCAGTAATCTTCATAGCGAAATATTTTATTTTGTCATAAACGAAATGAAATTAGTAATACAATATGTTTAATTAGTATAATTAATACATATTAGATATACTGTATTACTGATTTTGTTGTTCATTACTTCTCATAGATACTGTGGAAGGTCAGGCATTAAAATGGAAAACAATAAAGTTTGAATAAATGCAGAAAGAAAATGCTCATAAACTTTCAGGAAAATAAAGTAATGAAAAGATGTTAATATTTAAAGTAAAAATCTTTCAAATAGTTATTTGTAATTGGCAAAAAGATCATTTCTTTCATTTTAGGTCTTAAAATCAGAAAATTGCAACGATTCATTTGAAATGGATATATCCAAGATTGTGCCTTCATTAATATCTGTACCTAATGAAGGATTATTGTATGAAAAACCAAAAATTGTAGTCGAAAATTTAAAACGAAAATTTGTTTATCTCAATTACACATATCAATTCCATACGAAGTTTGTTTAATCCTCATTTTCCTAATAATTTTAACCATAATATGTGGTCAAATAATAATAATAATAATAATAATAATAACAATAATAATAATAATGAGATGATGATGTAAATAATAAATGCTTAATATAATACTAAACAGTATTCTGACAATAAAAAGTCACATATTTAGATTAATAATTAAAACCGACTGCACCAATCAACCAAACACAAGCTACCGTCCTCATGCAGTTAGTATAATCCAACAAGGATTTGGTCATAATGGATTGAAGATTGGACCACCAACACCTTTGAGATTTTTACTTTTCGTATCAAAAGTTTCATCAAGTTATCTGCGATTTCTGAATATTTCTACACCGTTAGTATTCAAAGAATTATTAAAAACTTTTGCGAATTATTAAAAATGAATTATTATTAAGAATGTAAAAATATGAGTTATTAATATTTTTTTTAGAGCAAGATTTATAAAATTACAATCAAAACATTAAAAAATTAATTATTGAATAACTTTTTTAATTTTGATGAAGTGAATTATTAAAAGTGTAAAAATATGAACTATTACTTAGTATTTTTTGCCAAGCAAAATTCTCTATCAAAATTAAAACTCAACTAAGTATTAGAATAAATATCAAATTAAGAAATTAAAAATAACTTAATAATGATGAGGACAATTTGATATTCCAATTAATGAAGCTGATATGAATATTATCGCAGTGTTCGTATTTGATTTGCATATTTTGACAGATCACTGCTGGTGACTATTGTAATGATATTTTTAATGAGCTGCAAAATACGCGACATTTTGATGACAAAACCTTTTGAGCTAACATTTAAAGAAATTGGAGACCCAACTCGACTACTCTATCTCTGTCACGATATTAGTTTGGGTAGGATTATATTAATTTGCATAGAACTTAGTAGTAGCATTATGTTATAGATCAAAGTCATACAACTTGATGCAGTACTTAATTTAAAATCATACAACTTGATTCAGTACTTAATTTATTATTATTTGAAAATGTTTCAGTCCGAGAAGCTAAGCTATTCGATCTAGAACATGATCTATTTGGTAAATTGGTATACGTGCTGAGATCTTCTGAAGCTTTAATACATTTTACAAAATTTGAGATGAAAAATTTATTCTGAATTTTTTCTTGTTTTCACAAAATTAATGAAATGATTACCACCATTAAAATTTAGTGCTGAATTTTGTACACGTTTTTCATAACAAAGTTGATTAAAAAAATGACAAACTTCATCACAAAATAAGCTGCTATTTTTGTAATACTTTTGAACCTTACTAAAAATATGCATCTGTAAACATAAACGTAATTCTGAGGAATATTTATTCCTGCAGTGCTGCTCTCTCACATAGTGAAATCCCTTAGGTCACATTTGTAGGAATATTTTGAATTTTAAATCTCGACATCGTGAATTCTCGTAACTTACGGATATATAATTTGTTATGAAGTCAGAAAATTTTTTGTTCTTTATAGAATCATCCTGAAAAAACCATTTAAATCATACAACTACGCGTGTTAAATGCAATATAATAATTATAAACACATGAAGATCACAATTTTCAGAAACTCACGATGGATGTATGCTTGTACTTTAATGGATGAACGGATATAGCTTCAAAGCTTTTGTTTCTGTCTACTTGTATCATAAAATAGATAAATAAATGTAATAACTTTGAAACGTACGCAATACTCATCGGCATAACTTTATCAGAAGTTTATCTTTCTCATTGCAAAATATAGTTACCTTAACAAAAATGATTATCTGAGAATAAAGGAAATGTTACAGTAACATAGATGATATAGAGGAATGATTAACTTTTTTATAATTACGTCGAAATTCTGAAATGAAAAATTGATATGGAATCAATTCATTACATCCACAGATCACTAAAAGTAGTCTATATAAACCCTATACATTTGTTACTGTTACGTTAAGCATAGTGCGTGCGTATTTGTTTCAATGTAAACTGTGAAGCATTCAATGTATGACAGATAAAAATTAAATATAATGAGAGAATTATTAAGTGAAAGTAAAGAAAAAGTAAAAGTAGAGAAATACATACTGTAAGTATGCCATATTTGGTAGGAAATAAAAAATAATTCTTGGTCTTTTATTTTTATTAAAAAAAATAGTTGAAGAATTTAGCTCGCTTTGTTATTATGTAAAAATTTTTTCTTATACCAGCAATGATGAATAGAAAATTTTGCACCAATTTAGCATAAAACGGATTATGAAGTTATGTGAGAAAAAAAATCAAGTTCAAAACGTTCATTACGTAATAATGACAAATGTAGACTTACACACGCGTAGGATCAGACTTACAACACTTAAGTTACTACAAGAATGCTGAACGAATTCTGACTTATTACTGATGGAATTATGTTCTATACTAACATGGGTAAATCGTTCCATTCGCAATAATGGTTGGCACCACAGAAGATAACTTTAATATTAACTGGTCATAATTTCTAGCATGCGAGCACATCATCTATAACCAAAAAGTTGATAATCTTAAATATCTGTTCACCACTTCTGTAGATGGAGATACCGTCAAGAAGTCAACGTAAACTACTTCTTGAATATGTGCATAAACAAGTCGTTCTATCGGTAGCATTTACACAATTCAAATCATTCGATGACTTCAGACAATCAGTGTGCTTCTGTCCTCAAAAACAATGGTAGATCCGTAGGAGCACAACTCATACGAAGGTAATATTTGAAGTAAAATCTCATTATCCTATTAGGTTTGCATGATATAAGAAGTAGAAAATTGCTATCAAATTAATAGTGATTTCCTCTGCCCATTAGTCATACTTATAACAACACAGAAAGCGCAAGTCTAATCCAAATCTTGATATTTATTCCTCAGTCATAAATTTTGCTTAAAACAAGTAGTACCTACCATCTTATGCCAATCTTTTGGACCTAACAAAATAGGCACACTTAGAATTTGTAAAATAAACTGCAAATTTGACAGTTTATGCAGATTAAAACCATCCAAACACAACGCCTTAATCTAATAGGCAAAAATTGTTTGCTTTGATTACAAACTCAAATACTAATGGAAAGTTGACTGGTAATAAAAGAGCCAAATAGTGATGTTAATTCAGTACAATGAGAATATAAACCCAAATAACCCTGACAAAAACAGATCATTAAGATCTACAAAGTTTAGCGCTAATTTAGAATGCATCGTGTGAACAAAAATACTGCCTGCATCTTATTACGGTAAAAGTCGAAGCAAATATGCGACTAAGTCCCATAATCTTTAATCATGAAACAATAATTTGAAATCATATTTCAGAAAATTCATCCAAGAATCACACTGTCAAGAACTTTCCAGCTTGACTTAATTCAATTACTTCATATCTGCTCTCTACTACTACATTAGTGCCTTCAAACACTTCATCAAAATCGGAGCTACTACATACACATATACATATAAGATGCCTGTTAATTTCCAAACCAAATTTCCAACAACTTCAAATGAATTTCGCTCCAGACACTTTTTATTATCATGCTGACTTGAAACATTGCAGTTTCCACTCAGGATCAAAAAACTAAAATAAAGTACAAATGAAGTACTCACATTGAACTGCTGATTTAATTATGAATAAAACACTATACACTGCTCTACATGTCAATGAATACGGAACACAACAAAAAATCAAGATAAAACAACTCAGTGAAACAAGCCCAAAAATTGTTTCCTAACTTAACAACTTATGTCATGTTACATGTTACAGTGTGCTTGTTATATTAAGATACATGGACTGCAATTCGATCAGTGAGATGAATTAAAGAAAATCATATCTTTAGCTAGTCTTCTGAGTGGTTTTCAGTCTTAGCCGCTTTTGATGAAGCGTGAAAAGCAGATTGCGGGCTGTAGATGGAACATCGGCATAATGGGTACCATCAAAATAAAACCTTAAATTACGTAAAAATTAAATAACGCCTTATTTTTATAAAGCCTGCTACTTCTTTAAGCAATGCCGGAAATAACTGAAATTACGACAAAATATTGAAAATAAGTTCGAGAAAACAACTAATAAATTTATGTATTTTGTTTTCCTAAAACTTGTGTTGAAAATATTTAAAAACTATATGAACAAACATGCAGCAGTGCTATCACTCTAAGAGATAACCGACATAAGTTTCGGACACCATTCAATGGTGAGCCTTAGAAGATTACCTCATTTCTTCACTGCCTTCCTTAAAAACAAAAATTCGTGGATCAGTTGATGATATTCGTAATTCTAGAGGGGTTTTTAATCCATTTGAAATTATTCGTGTTGGAATTTGCACACCCTAAATTTCAGTGTTTAAATTCATTGGTTTTCAATACTATCCATTTTTTGGAAGTTGTAAGCAAAATTTCTCCAATTTTACAATAACTCCGAGACCAAAAAAGATCTTACATTTTCCAGCTGACCACGCAATATATATTCACCCTCCGTGAGCATTCGAATCCCGTTTTCTGCCTGAAATCTTCTGGTTTATACATGTAAATGCGAAATCTTTTTTTCTTCATAGTTCAGGCACAAAATATTACTGGCGACATATTTTTCAGCTGAAAACAACTTGTTTTATGAAGAGATTTCGAGCTCCTATCGTAACCATAATCTGCATAATCTGATCTCTGAAACAACATTGAAGATTTCAGAAAAGTTTTCAAATATATCATAGTCATTACATACAAAAAATAAAGTATATTTATTAATTCAACGAATTTTAATGAAAGAAAAAGCCAATGTTAAATTTTTTGGAACATCCAAATTACTGTATTTCAATTCGTTGCATTATTATGTAAAATTTTTTCTTTTCCAACAATAGTGGATAGAAAAATTTGTATCAATTTAGCATAAAAGGGATTATCAAGCTGCTAGAAAAGTGAAATAAATGGCTTAACAATCTGAAATGATACGCTCGCCAAAAATGTTTTTAACAAAGGCATATCTGTAAGAGCGTGTTTTGAGTAAAATCAAGAGACAAAATCATACAATAACCTTAAACCAAGAGCATAAAGAATAATACTGTTTGCAATCAAGCAAAATTTTAAAATCAACCAAACAAAATAAAAGTGCATTACTTTTGGCAATGAGGAAATATTTCGATCACGTAGTGGTGCACGATATTGTTTTGGTAAATGATCCAGAGAGCCGTAATTTTTTGACGGAAGCTGATTAGTTAAACCCGCCAAGCTCTCTGAAGAAATCTTATGATTCGTTTGTTTCTGTTCCGAAGTAGTTGCTTTTACTGTTTCAGTACCTTCATTCATGATCAAGTGACTAAAAAAATTGTGTGAAAATGGCCAAAATACGCGGAAAAAAATTCCTTTCAGCAAGAGGGTAAACAACACAAACAAGACTATAAATAATAGAACAAAACCTGCTGCTAGAGAAGTGAAATGGAAATGGCTTGACAATCTGAAATGATACGCTCTCCAGAAATGTTTCTAACAAAAGCGCATCTGTATGAGCGCATTCAAACATGCGCTTTTCTCCTGAAAAATACAAGCTGTAAATTGCGTGCTGGGTTATACATATTTTAGAGAGTTCTAACTATTTTATATTTTTTTTACAAAATATAAATAAATAAAGAAATCGCTTCGATATGGACTGCATATTTGCAGTAGTGATCAATTCAAATAAAATCTTTTTTAAACGTGGCATTGTTGATATTTAAGCATCTTGTTATTGAGAACTTCTTGCCAAGCAGGCGAAATTTCAAACAAACAAGAAAATTAGATTACAGCAAAATTTACGCAGCAAGTGGCAGCACTATATTTTCAAACATAACAGAAAGCTGGTATCTCCAGAAAATTCAATCACTTAATATTTGCAAACGGCAGAAAAAAATCTATTAAGAAAAATATCGCACCACTTGAAAGAACTTCTGGTGCTTTATCGCTTGATGTAACAGAAATGGAGTTTGCATTTTTTTTTAACAATGCTAAGCGTCCTGAAAAAATTCTATATCATCAGAATCATTACCTTACTTGTTCTTCCATAATATATTTTTTACAAAATATGAATTAATAAAAACATAAGGTGAATTACATATTTGCAGTTGCCGACCCAACTAAATCTTTTCTAAACATAGATTGCAATTCATTTAATTCTGTGTGAGCACAACATGCAAGAAACTTAAGCAACATTTTTACTTGCTTATGGGCAGTATCAATCATAAGACTGATCATAACATTTGACTTTTTAGTAAAGAACAATTTTATGACACTTGAAATATATACCATCTTGGAATTTAACTCGAAAATCGCCATTTTCCATCAATCTAGCAGTAGTATTAGATGATGGCTTGAACATTATTTTCACTACACGTGCTCCAGCTAAACTGACTTCATCGAGAATCTTTCTGTACAAAGCTAGCGCAATATCGTCCACTTTATCTTTTGTGCGCAGCAGTTGTTCTTTACTGAAGATGAAGAATAGACAAAAACTTATTCATTACAATTACAATCATGATTTAATATACCTGGAATAAGTACGGCAAGTTGTTGGATTACATGGAAGCAACGGCATATCTTTATTTGGAATCACACATTTACAAGCCGGTTGATAAGTTGAAAAAACTTGTGTGCCATTAACTGCCCTATCAATAATGGCAATCCATTTTATCAGTGATTCATCACTCAGGTTAGAATTTCGACTAACTGATTGGCTTCGATGTCGAACAGTTGCCTCATAAACGATAGTTCCATTTTCATTGAATATAAACTATAAAATCCGACTCTAAGTAATACAAATTGTTAAGGAGTTAAATTAAACAATATAAGCAAAAACATCCTAATTAACGTCAAAAAAATATAACTTTGCAACAAAGCTATATATATATATATATATAGTTCCAAACTTTGCCAAGTAAACGTATCGTAATCGAATGATGATGAGACCTTCTATTCAGCAAAAATATTTCATATTATAAATTACCTTCACCTTTTGTAGAGAAAAATAGTTAACAAATTTTCTGGTTATTTATTATGCAAAATGTTAATTAAAGTGATATCAAATTTTTCTTTGCAATTTAAAATAATCAAATACAACTTACTCTCCCTGTTTTGCGTACGATCACTGAAAGTCCTAGACGCGACACATTAATTGGCCAAGTAAGTGCAGAAGATAGTTTATTTGTGTTATCATCCAGATTTTCTTTTATGTTCTTAGGACTCGCATAATGAGGAATAATATCCCTTACTGTTGCTCCCACATTATTAGGTTCACTTACATTGCTTATCCTATAATGAATTTTAATCTGATTTTAAAAGAGTATAAAATTTGTATGAAAAAGCAAATGAAACTGTTCACAAATTTTCAATATGAATCTGTGCTTTCTGTCGCACAAAATGCTCTTGTTTTTATGATATTTCACATGGAAAATATAAAAACTTAATTTCTGCGATTTCGTTCAACTGATTGTCGCCTACCACAACGTACGCATTGATTATTGTTATAATTACTATGACGACAGTCCATTACACGAGGTGGTCCGTTACGATAGCGATCCGAAGAAGATCTTCCATGATACTAAAAACTGTTTTTGAAATGATATGGATTAAATGAGATTTATTAAATGTAATAAAGCACATTGCATGAGGATGTGGAAATAATTTATATCAAAATTAAATTAAATTATGATAAATAAATATTAATAATTCGATGTAAATTTAAAAAAAATTAATGTGGATACGCTATCAATGAAAAGTGAAAAAAAGGAAATAAACTAACAGGACGAGCGCTTTCACCACTTTCAAATGCGGAATCATTAGTAATGTATTTGTATCCATTCACTGGTGGACGATTTGAATGAGTCCTGGCTACTGGGGAATGGTGCTGTAAGCAATGAGGATTCCTATTTTCACTCATATTCGAATTATTTGAACAATAATTAAACAGAAGGATGGAGAATGAAATATGTGCTTTCATTATATGAAATATTCAAAATTCAATACTAAAACTTGAATGTATTATATGGCATCGTTCCAACATGTAAAATGAATCTATTAATAATAAAAACATGTGTAAAATAAAATTTGAGCTTACAGTGTTGTTACTATTTCGATACGGCGTTTTTTCGCGCGACAGATCACGAGACCTGCTCATTGGAAGACTTAGCCCATCAACTTTTCTCATGAAGTCACTCATTGATATATCTTTAAACGGATAATTTTTCCAACATTCAACTCATGCTAAGTCATAAAAGTCAATAATACAGTAGAAAAAATATAAATGGAATCTTTATAATTCTCGATTACTATAATTACTGAATTTCTTAAGTGGTGGACTTCTCTTAAAAGATTACCTCCAAGACCAATGCGCCTCTCTTCATGTGGATCCATCATACTTTGAATGAGCGTTGCACCTTCTAAAGAAATATCATCCTTGAATGGATTAATTTCGCGATTTCGAGGTGGATCTTCTCCGGTCAGCATCAAATATAATATACCACCCAAAGAATAAACGTCTGCTTTCTGATTATAATGCCGATTATACACCTGCCTGTAATGTACTGCCCATCATAATGGTACTTTATTTTATTTGGATCATTCTAAAAAACCCAGTAATGAAAGTTTGCCACCATCATTAACAATTGTACATTCCAAATGCGACAGAAAAACAGCGAACCAAAACCTACCAACTTTAAACTGTTGCTTTAATCATATAACTTAGAAAAGATTTAAGACTATAGACGTAAAAATTTCGTTTACTCACGGTGCAATGTATCCAGGAGTACCGAGCATTGTTTTCGCGACATCTCCTTTTCGAAAATTTGTTGCAAGTCCAAAATCAGCAAGTTTCTAAAATTTTTCCCCCGAGTGGTTCAAAGCACAAAAGGAAGAATAAAAAATGCAATCAGTCGATTAACTTCTGCAATCATTCTTACAATAAACAACTTGTTGTTGTTTCACAGCATCAAAGAAGCAATTTGAGCTACTTCAATGAATTTTTTCTTGATGACAAATTAAGTAACCAGAAGTCAAGAACACACACACACACATTACTCTCATTTTACAGCACTACAAGGATTGGTAAATTCAAACTGCCTTCTGACACTTACAATAAACAACTTGTCTTCTCTTACTGACGAAATAAGAACATTTCCTGCAGAGAGATCACGATGAATCATATTTTGTTCATGTATATACTTCACTGCGCTTACTAGCTGTCTCAGTACGTATGCTGCTGCAATTTTAAAAAAAATAAGTAAAAAAATCTCGAGATTACTTATCTGGAAATATCAACTTTGGCAACAAAATAAACTTTTGTTCACAGAGTCTGTAAGCAAATAAGCTGCAATTTATTATGATTCTTCTGCAATCATTCTTTTTTTAGTAAAATCCTATTTATTAAGTAAAAAATAGAATTATGAGCTACAAACAAATATTAATTACCTGAAAAATCTGACATTTTTCCATTTGTTCTGACATATTCTCGAAGTGACCGATACTTGCAATATTCCATAATGATATACTGTGCACCATTTTCTTGAAATGCATCATAGAATTTGACAATATTGTCATGAATCAACTTAGATAAAGCTTGCAATTCCAATTTTACGCGAAAACTTGGTGCTCTCTTGATATCAATCTAAAAACAGAAGACAAATTATTCATACGTATTAATACATCTTGAATAAGAGCTGAATAGTTTTTAACCTTTTTCACTGCGACATCTGTATCATACCACGGTTTATCTTTGGCAATACATCGAGCTCGAAAAACAATACCAAAACCACCGTGTCCTATTTCTTGTAAATCATCATACTCCTGAAATACAATGTAAACATAATTCAAAAATTCAATTTTATTAATCTACCGATGTTCAATTTAATCAAGCATATACAGGTTTATTTCTTCTTTTTCACAATTATATAGGTTTATTCCTCACATTTATACGTGAAATTATAGATCAGAACTTTTAAATGCAATTAATAATTACACTTACAACAAATAAATGGGAATATTAAAACATACACGTTCCAAACGTCTCATTGCGGTAGTTAAATTGTATTCACAGCCATAAAATAAATTCTACACAGTCTGGAAGAAAGTTTTACGTTCTCTAGCAAAAATCCAACAATTTTCGTCACTTTGCGTGAAGTTAGCACTGTAATTTGAGCTCATTAAAACTATTATTTCATAGTAGATATAAAAATTCTAAAACAAATAAAGCTCTCACTATATCCATGACATTTTATATTACTTTTTCAGATTCATATAAAATTATACAAAAAAAGCTGACAATCAATAAACCAGTTTGAAATGAAACATTTGCAACCAAACTTATAACAGCGAACTACCAACATAAATGGTACAGCTTACTCAGCTTAGCTTTCAGCAGTTTAATTACTACTAAAAATATGAACCTACCAAAAAAATTCATACATACTCTTTCAATATCTGCATTCTATTCCACGTTGCTTTCCTTAAACATTACTTCTAGCTTATGTGAAAACTGTGCTATTAAAAACTTTAAATTTGTAATTATTCACAGTACTTTTTTTAATGCTTTTGAGGAAAAGTTTGTATTATCTTTTTTTACCTATTCAATTCTGGCACTTCTTGGCTATATATTCATTTTCAAACAAAGTATTTCATTTATCTCCTAACCAGATCTTAGAATCTTCCAATTTGATTATTCATACGATTTATCCTCAACCTTTTATCTGAATTACTGACTGAAACTTTAGCAAATGACTTCACAAAAATAAATAAATCACATCATATTCAAATAAATTAAAAGCATAAAATGCCGCATTTTCAAGTTTTCAACAGTTCAAAAGCTCACTATGAAAATCATATATCTCAAGCAATCAAGGTTTTAATAAGACACTTCTCATTTTTTCTCAAAAAAAGTTTCTAGTTTTTAAAGCTGAATCTGTAGTATTTGTTAGTATTCTGTAGTATTTATTACTATTCTGTAGCATTACTACTTTCTGAAGTATTTATTACTATTTCAGACTTGTTCAATAGGAATGTCCCACGAAAAATGCTAAATTATGCTGAATTTTTGACACCAAATATTTGTCATGTTATTAGAAAAGCGTATATTGCACTAGTGACTTTTAGAATTCTGCTTTTCCGACACTTTACGCATCATTACGAGAGCATAACTATTCATTAAATATGAATAACATATATCGGTCTCACAAATTATTAAAATAAAGTTTTACTAGTGTATAGTATCACGGATTTGCAAGTCAAAAGTAGAATAGTGATGAGATGATTCTGAATAGTCCATGTTTGCTAAATTAAATGGCAACTCAAGAAATCTTTGGATTCCGCAGTCAAAAACATATGTAAAGTTTAGTGAATGATTCTGTAATACTTCACGGCTTGTATTTCAAACACATCCACAACTTTATAGCAAATCATAGCAGTCATTTTCAACGCCATTTTATAATTTTTCATCATTATATTTGCATTAGTATTCAATTTTCAGATTCTTAGAATTCTTTTCTCTAAGTTCCTTTGATGCTTCTTTAACTTTCCATAATTTCTTGCTTCCAGCATTGCCTATTCCACAGAAGTTACCGAACCGAAAATATTTCAAATTTCTATGAATCATGCATTCGTAATGAAATTCAAAAGTAGATTCTAAAAACGATTAAGTGAAATGCAAAAATCTACGAGACATAGATTACAAATAGTGAAATTCATTTTCACGCGAGTGCGATTAAAAATGCCAACAACAGGTCAAATGTCATCATTGTTCGACAAATAATGTGAAATTCTTTAGCAAATAATATTCATAAAAATGTAATGAATGCCCTGACAATATTTCGAGATTTCAAGTGATGTTAGTAATTTGCATACGAATGGCGATATATGATAAAAAAGCAAAATTTTAACAAATAATATGAGAAAAATTTAAATCACGTAGGTTGCCACATTTTTATAATATGAACAGAGTCAGGATTAAAATTGATTTATTCCGCAATCACTGGTCAAAGCTGCTTGCAAACATTTCTGGGAGCAGAATCGTTGCTGCTTATGATAAGCAAACTGGCCGATATGCTGTTCCAACATGCCACAATACGCACATAATGAAAAGCCAAACTGCTGTTTATCCTTGATAAAACGATCGCCAAAGATGACCACCGACCCGTTCGGACGCCAAATATTGATAATATGGCGATCAAAATCAGTCATCACCCATGTACGATTTCCTGATAATATACCAATTGTCACTGAGCACATTCTAAAATCCACTAAAAATACTATTGGTCTTAATTTACGGGACTAAATTGCAAAAATGCATCCAGATTACTGAAATAATTTTGTACTTGAATACTAGTAGACAAGTTGTTGCACAATCATTTTATGTAGCCAAGCAAACAATTCACGTAATGTTAGATAGCATTCAGGAATCGATACACCAAAGTAAATAGTATAAAGAGTTTCATAATTCATTTTGCAGAAGACAGACCACAAAATTTATTAGGTATATGAGAATTAAGAAATTCATTATCGAAACTAGATCAAAATTAGATTTGTTTTGTCCCACACACTTAACTTCAGCACAAGAACTACTATTTACTGTAAAACGAATGACCTGAAATAAGTGGTAATATTGTCAACGCCATAATGCGGTCATTCACATAAAATAATCGTGAATAAATTGAATTTATTACGACTATATTGGTTGCATTTTCTGAATCAAATATACGGCTCAGCAAAATGACAAAATTGTCCGTATTTTGTCTTCATTTATCAAGTCCGTTCAGTCTATAGATATTAATTATTCTGCTTTTCTTTTGCTCAGAAAAAGATAACGAATACAAAAGTTTCTAAAAAAACAAATAAGTGAAGATTGAGAATATTCAGAAAGAATGCAAATGCTGGATATTAGTCCAATCCACTAAGCCACATGCATTACTATTTACTATCTAGACAATTTTATACAACCTCTACTAATATTCGCCTTCACATTCATCTAGCAAAAGTTATAGAAACAAACTGATTTCTAGAAATTAACCTAAAGAACCGGAAAAATTCGTACAAAAAAGTTACTTTTTTGGGTTTAACTTTTTCATTATTATTTTCAACTCAAAGTGAATGTTCTTGCCTAAAGATGATAGATATTTCAAATAAACGATTAAATAGAATCAAAAGTGATAACATGGAGCGCTAAGACAGTGTTGGTTTTCCACAATGTAATTCCATATATTTATTTATTGGCGAAATTTGATTTTTTTTCAAAACCAATGAATAAAATTGGTTTCCAATTTTTCTGAACTAACGCATATTTCGCAGTTTTGAAGGAACTCTAAGTTAAAATGTATTTTTCTTCTAGAGATTCATTAACTGTTGATTTATCAACAAAGAATTCTGTACTCAATTTGTTTTCAACTACTTAACTTATTTATTAGTCTAGCCTAATAGTTCGCTTCCCTAACAACTAGATCTATGAAGTAACTGAATCAATCTTGGAGTATTCAAATTTCTCGCTACAATGACTTTAAATAATATTTCTACCAACCTTTAAAAAAATGTTGGAAGAGAACAACACGATCGTCCGGTTGCCACTCAGGATCCTCTTGAAATCGAATACCTTTACGATTTCTAGCTGAAGATTTCCATCGTTGTTGCAAAGTTGTAAAGATATGCATAAAAATCTTATGGACAATAATTTGGGCACTTGCGATGCGATATGTTGCCGAGTTAGGTTCTCCATAAATCCTTTAAAATTTCAAATAAATAAGTGACCATAAATATGAACAAACAGATAACGAATTCAACCAATACAGCGTTATTCCCTAAAAAACAATTTTATAAAATAGACCAATTATTCTGAAAATTATTATTGGAAGAAACTGAACAAAAAATAGCAACCTTGTAAAGTAATCGCAACTTTTAGGATCTTGGAATGGATTTCGAATCGATGATTCGTTGTTGTTGAGATCATTGAGGATAGGGACTACATCCGGATAATTTACAACCAACTCAAGATCAGCTAGAAACTAAAACTAAAATTTAGCAGCTCTGTATTAAAGTTCGTTCAACTAAATGTTTAATGAAAATATTTCATTTAAATATAGAATATTAGCATTCCTGCAGTTATGCCTACACCGTTTGAGCTTTTTTTTCCAAGCTCGATACAATAAAGAAATCCATGTATAACCTTATTATTTTCGAATGGAAAATTAAAGTTTAAAAAAAACTACAATCAAATTTACTTTTGCATTGTCTCAAAACAAAAGTGATTCTGTTTGAGGAAGTTTTTTTCACAGAAGCCACCTTCCTCTACATGAAACTAAACAAAAAAAACTGTATTTTTCAAGTAAATGTCATCTCTTTGCAAAAGAAGTATTTATTTTTGTATCTTCAAAAAATATCAAGTTATGCTCAGTTCTGTTAACGAAACGTTTGACAATAATTCAGTCCTGCTTGTATGCTTCAGTTTTTCTATATATCAATTGTTTCCAAGTTCCTAGTCTAAATCATACTTTTCCCTGACTTACTTTCGAAACTCCTGAAAGCATGATCATAAAAAGTTCTGAAGGAAAAGAAACTTCATATACAATACAAATCGTTAATTTAATACAAATCCTACAGGTGTGCAATATAAACAACACATTTCTTTAACAGAAAAATAAAAAAAAAATTGAAGTTTACAGAACTAGTTTTGTCATGCTATTTCGATTTCAAGTATTCTCGTAAACAATGGTAATTCCTCTAACGATTACTGATTCATCACAAATTACTTTACAGATTTGAGTTCTCTATTTAAAAGTTATTATTTCCTTCATAAAGTTTGAATGTCATGATTGAATAAAAGTAGCAGACAAAAATTATGACTTCATTACAGCAATATTTAAAAATTCATGTCAAATAAAGTGTTTAGTTCATTTTCTTAGCAAAGCACTTTTCTGGACCATGCAAACCACTACTAATTTAACAAACAAAGATAATTCATGGCAGGCATCAAACTATCACAAATTTTGAATATCAATTATGGAAGAGCAACAGAATATTCCAATTTTTATGGCTAGTTTCTTTTCTTTATCAGACCATTTCTCTATTCTAATTTAGCTTTTTACTATTTAAATTTAGTCTATTCTGCACAAACTTTTTAAAGTATGTATGTAACTCGTAAAGACTAAAATGAGAGCAAGTTTGACTACTACTGAAGAACCAATTTCAAATTAGAAATTCAAATTTCAAATTTTTAAATGCTAACATTATTATTGACAATCTATTTCAAATACATTATCCCTTCATGTTTTAATACTATACTTTTGTTAGAAAAATTGAATTTCTAATTTTTCAGGAAAACAAAGAGAAACAATATTTTGCAAAATCACTTCTGTTTGTGCATTTATTTTCTAGGAACAAAAACTTAAACAACTCTGAAAACTTCTTCATTTCTATTATTCATCAAAAAATGGAATGGAACCTGTTGGATGACACTTTGAACGGTTGATTCAACAAGATTACGATGAATGATTATGAATGCATCATCGGCAAAAAATAATTTTTCATCATCATCTTGAATATAATTTACAACATATCCTCGTGCAGCGATGACTAATCGAGACCACCAAATTTTTGATAATTCAGTGTGCATCTAAGATTATAATAAAATTCTACAAATTAATATAAACTTTGTACTTCTAAACTCAAATTCAATGTAGCTGAAAATAATAAGACGTCAAGCAAAAATATAAGCATAGAAGTTCGTCCTTGGATATTTAAATACGGAAACGAAACTAAAAGAAAAAGTGTAAAGATTATTAAATAAATGAAACAAAGTTTGATACGAAGAAAGTTGCAGGCAAAAATAAAATTAAGTACTCAGGTATATTTCCATTTGCTAGCATTGAATAACTAAAATGTAATTTACGCTCATTTTTTATCATGAAAAAATTTATTTACGGAATTAAATCTTATACCTGCTGAAATACATCTGGTAAAAACTCTGCAACAAGTTGATCTGGTAAAACTAATGACTTTGTCTTAGGAAATAATTCAAAATCTTCCATTGAAATCGGTAGCAGCATTACTAATTATTCTTCGCAGTAATAATATATTATTTGCTTTTCTAACTGATAACTATGCTAAAAATGATTAATAATAATAATAATAATAATAATAATAATAATTTTAATAATAAATAAAAAGTGCATTCTTGTATCTATTATGTATATATTTGTTAATAATTTCTTTATTACAAGCGAATTAAATAACAATATTAATAAATCGTAAGGGAGAAGGAGAAGCACTGAACATTATCTCATGTAGGAAGAAAAACGGAGGAGAAAAGTAAAGGAAAGAGTTGAAGCAATAAAAAGGACGATTCAATTGTAGAATCTCTTCCTCCCTCGCAACACTATTTCTGCCTACCATCCAGTTTTAACACCAAACATAAACCATCAACGAGAGGAGAAGGGAAAAATGGAAAAGAAATACCTTCAAAGAAACCTAATTTACTGTAAATATTTTCCTGAAAGTTCAAATTAATATCAAAATTACCTGAAGAATATTAACATATCGATACCATGCATAATAAATTTGACATGCTACCAGTTGTTTCCACTTTATTACTATTATACCTAAAATAGTTCATTAATTATATATATTTATTTTCATAGTGTGTACATAATTCACTATGCTTTACTTTAACTGCATAAACAATTAAGTTTTTTGAACAAATCAATAAAAGTGGCTCAAATGATTTGAATGAAATTTAGACGAGCATACCAAGTTATCTCATGTCAAGTACTTTAAACCTGAAAGATAAATGCTTGCACCATATATATATGGTGCAATAGTAAAATAAGATACCGCAGTGTACCCAAATATCTTCTAATTTTTTGGAAACTGCCCAATTGTGTCTCAAATATGATATCATTTGAATAAATAAATTCTGAATCACTATCACAAATAGTAATTGATTCTTCGCAAAATAAAATCTGCTAAATTATTTACAAAATCATTACTAGTATAATTTGAATTACTCGTGGAATGATGACTCAGGCTTGTTGAACGATGATATATTGTACTAATTTATGCTCGAATAAACTTATGAATCCAAATTTACCAACTCTGTTTTCAAAATATATTGCTTGCTCGAAGTAACTTACATCAGTTCACTTTTCCTTCTTTAAGTCACATCATTCTTCACAATTTCAATTAAAATTAAATACCGTCCTTTTATTTCAAATTTCACTATTTAAGCAATCAAAATTACCTACTGCTGATTTGCATAAGAAAAAACGCCGTTTAGCAATAATATATTTAATTAATACCACTTGTATTTCGAGAATAATGCAACATGAACAGAAAATAAAAAATATTGAAGACAATAAAGTTTTCGAAAAATCTGATCCTCGAAATTACATCATTACGCTGACAATAAAGACTAATTCTACAATATTAGATTTTTAAATGGATGATAGAAGCAATAACATAACACGAAACCTTAACATCAAAATATCGTATTGTTAAGAGAATAAAAAGTAGTTGAATGAACAAGTCTCAGCAATTACTCTAATTTCAAGAAGCAAGACAATCATAATCAGGTTGAAATTTTAAGTAAAACAAGAACGTTCTTACTCTAAAAATTTGTTCACATTTTTTGATGCATTAACATCTTGAATCCCTCAGAATTATCAACTTACAACATATTATTGAACTTCGAAGCAAAATAAATGTGCTAAGAAATGTGACACAACTGGCAGCTTGCAATAATCTTATGACATACCCTAGCATTTCAGTAAAAAACATCATATATGGATATGAAAAGTGATATATATATATATATA